CCCCTCGATGCGGATGTTGTTCTGGCCCTCGCGCTCCTCGATGTTGATATTCACCTTCAGCTCGTCCTTGAGCCGGTTGACATTCGATCCGGCCTTGCCGATAATATGCTTGTAGTACGAGGGGTTTACCGTCATCACCTCGAAGGTGAAGTTCTCCTCGTAGTTGCGTATAATCTCGGTCAAGTAGGAGATAGCCTTGTCCACGTTCTCTGGGTCGCCTTCGAGCTTGATCTTGTCCTCGAGACAGTTCACGTTCACGTTGGGGCAGTCCTCCTCCAGCTGCTTCATGTTGGCTCCCTTGCGGCCGATCACGTACTTGTGGATCCAGTGCGGCGCATTGATTTCCACAGACTTGACCGAGTTGGCCTTCTGGTAGACAACAGTGAGGGCATTGCCGAGGGCGACCTGGGGGCCGCGCAGCGTGATCGTCTCCAGGGAGGAGTCGTTCGGCGGCATCTCGACGGAGACTCCGGTGAGTTGCAGGATCTCGGCAATGGTTGAGCCCTTGGGACCGATCACATAGCGATGCTGTGCCTTGGCCACCTCGACGCTCACCGTGGAGCACTTCTTCTCCATCTCCTTGTAGATGGCTTCGACCTTTGCCTTGGCCGCGGCGACGGCATCCTTCTCGCCCGAGATGATGATCTCGTCCTTTTGCACCTGCTGAGGCGGAACGTTGATCTTGGCGCCCGTCTCCTCCTGCAGCTTGTTCAAGTTCTCGCTGTAGGGGCCCACAATGAACGGATGGTAGATCTTAGGAATCGTGGTGCGGTCCGACGACTTCTTGTACTGCTCCGCAGACAGCTGGCGGATCTCCTGCTCCGCCTTCTCGATGCCCTCCTTCGTGCCGGCAATGGTGATGAACTCGCTCTCGTCGCCTTGGCTCGGGATATTGATGCGCGTCGAGGTGAGGCGCTCCAGATCCCGCAGCCGCTGGCCACCCTTGCCCAGGATCACGCGGTAGTGCTCACGGGGCACGGTCACCTGGCGGCTGGCCTGCGTTGAGAAACTCATCAGAATCTTGCGCCGGGCGTCCAACAGCTCGCTCTGCTTGCCCTTAATTAGGAAGGTGAGCGACTGGTTCTTGCCGCTGACGATCTCAATCTGGGCGCCGGTCTCCTTGGTGATTTGCTGGCAAATCCGCTTCGATTCGCCCTCGCCAAATCTCTCGGACTCCGTCGACTTTCGCTCATCGCAGGGCACGTGCAGCACCTGTGTCAAATGTCAAATGCGACAAATGTCAATCTGCTCTCGACTCTCGACAGAATCCTGATCCCCTCGACAGGAGATCCATTCACTTACCTGCGTCTTCTGCGAGCTTGTCACTCGGGCTAGCGACGAGCTGGAGGGGCCGGACAGCGGTGGCGCCGAAGTATTGGCCGGCAGGGCCGGGAATAGGTCGTCGTAGCTAAAGGCGGGCGTGGCATTTCCAGTGCCAGTGCCTCCGCTGTTGGTGCTGGTGGGCGTTGCCACCGAAGTGGGCGAGGATGGTTGCTGCTCGTTGGACACCTGCTCTTGGCCGTTGATGAGGGCGATCGGTTGTTGCTCAATGCTGGTTGCTGCAATTGGTTCAGAGGTTAGCCATTGGGTTCGCCATTGGTGGGGGGCTATCCCTGGCCTTACCGTTGGATTCCTCCATCACTGCTGCTGCTGCTGCTTGCATTACTTAAAAAAAGAGAAGAGTCCTTTTTCGTTCCAAGTCGTTACAGTAACACTGGAAGCAGAGAAAATCTGTTAATATTTTTTTCATTTCAAGATAATGGCTAATGAAGTGCTTTTGTTGGGATTATTCTGGGAATCTATCGCACCGCAATCAGTCTACATTTCGGAGGACACTGATTCTTAGACGGTCTGCTCAGATTTGGTTTGCAGCTGCCCCTCTGGTTCTCCCCTTGATTCAAAATCTCAATTACTTTCGTTGATAAGTGCCGACCGACGCCGACCCGCATGTGGGTCGCCGATAAGGAAACGTTTAGTGTTTCCGAAGTAGGGGAGGGTTGGTTCCCGTTCGTTCCCGGCTGTTGATAAACCAAATCTAGCAGCACAGTATTCGGTTTTAGCGCTCTGCCAAGAGCCACGTAATGGTAAAGTAAAAGAGTAATATACGCGGGGGCTCTGTTTCGCTGGCGATAACTGGACGGACCGGCCAAGCGGCAGGCAGGCCACGCAGGCAAAAGTGAAAAGGAAGCCAGTGATAACTATGGCTGATAAGAACAACCTGTGCTACCGATCGCCAGTAGATATCTAGAAATAAAGTTGCTATCAGTCGCTTTTCCGCTTGGGTGAAAGGTTGGGATCGGACCACCGTTGAAAGCCGAAGCCAGAGAGATCGAGGAGCAGACCCAGACCGTGCACTTGTTCGACAGAGCTGTTTTCTAAGCCAATGCCCAACGAGTTTCGTAGCCTACATTCTCCTCCTCTCGCCCAGAAGAACAACAAAGATGTGGGGCTGCCACTATCGCTCCCCTCACACACACTCACACACGTGTGTAGTGTGGCGCATGCATGTCTGTGTGTGCTCGAAAAATGTGTCAAAAGAAGAAACCAGCGAGGGAGAGAGCGCAAGAGCAAGAGCAAGAGCAAGAAAGAGAGCTTGACGAAGTAACTCAACGGAGCGGGAGTGTGGGGCCAGTGAGTGCCAGGCCAGTGCCATATAAAACCGGATGATAGCCGGCAACTACATACAACAAAGCAAGCGATCGGATCGACAGTGTATGCGCACATTTTTGTGTCGCTCTCCGCGTCTGTATTGGTGCCTTGGCACCTTTCTAGCAGCATTGCTGCTGCTGCTGCTGTTGCTGGTGCCGTTGCCGTTCGAGAAGAAGGCAAGGCACAGGTAAAGCGAATACATACGTATGCACATACACTTGTATGTATATTTGTTTTTATGTATGTGCAGAGGCATGTAACGCCTGCAGCGACGCTGACGTCGACAAATGAAGACAAAGCACAGTGCGGTGCGCTGCTAAAGTTCAGCTTTAAAAATTGGTATGCACATATCGAACTTTTGTTGGGTGATTTCCATCCAAGGCCTGGGTCCGGCGTTCGCTTGGCGGAGGGGATGCGGCTGGCGCTGGGGCTGGGGAGGAGATGGTGCTGAAAAACCCTTGACGTAGTCAGTTTTTGGAGCACGGAACAACCGTTAATTTCTGGTTCGGCATTCTTGGCCACAGAAGAGCTGGTCCACACACACACACACACACACACAGATACAATTTACTGTGGTATGTGAAATGGTAAATTATGCAAATTAATATAAAATCCGATGGTATTTCGATCTGTATTTTTGTTGTTGTTTTGGTTTTTGTTTTCAGGGAGGGAGGGAGTTATGGAGCTAAGGTTGTTCAACTTACTGTACTGTAAAATCCAAAAAATCCGGCCTAGTTAGTCTCCTTTGACAAAATCCAGTTTGATAACTTGGCGTGTCTGCTGGAAGACATACAATCAAAAGAACAGAGTAATTAGCAGATGCATATCGCCATCATTTGCCGGATGCGTTGAAAGCTCTACACGGAGCTCGGGTGAGCATGTGTTTCATGTTCTATCGAGAGTCTGTTGCGCTTCGCTGCGAGAGGCGGAAGGAAGAAAGTGCACAGATTTGTGTGTTATGCGGGGGTTCGGGGTTGGGGTTGGGGGTAATATGCGGGCCACTTATTGGACAATTGTTGTTGTCGGCGCAAAAGTGGAGCACACAATGGCGTAGGCGTAGGCGAACGCGTGGGCGGAAGCAGGCGCCGTATGGCTCGGACAAGCCGAAATCAGGTGAAAGGTTTCAGCTACAGCCTTCCACCCACTCCTCTCCCCAAAATACACCATCTGGCTGGGTGGGGCGGGGCTGGGCTGGGCGCTGCGAGGCTGCGCTGAGATGTATTGGGAATGGAATGGGTTCCATTGAACTTTTGTGCTGACTTCAAACTCAAAACGGAAAGAATACGAATTTCGGAAAGCTTCAAATCGTGCCATTCACCAAGGAACAGCACGCGCGCTCTCCAATCGGACAGATTATACATAGATGTACCTATGTACAGGCAGGCATACATATGCATATGTTCATACTATGTATGCTTTGTACTCTGTGTGCGTGGACGACAACGCTGTCTCCGTTTCCGTCACCGCCACCACCGTCGCCGTCGCCGTCGCCATCACCATCACCATCGTCAGCGCTGCGACTGCTGGCTGGCTGGTGTGGTGTGTGCTTTTGTGTGAGTGAGCGCGAGTGCGAGCGCCGCCCGTGCCAGTTGCTGCGACCAGGCCATTATCAAGCATTGAAAAACACGTTGTTTTTTGCAGCAATTTTTCTCTTAAAGAATTCCGCACGGCACGGAAAACGCGAGCGGCAAGCGCCCAATTTAAATGCAGCCCAGACTCCTCCTCTCCTCCACGTTGCCAAGTCGTGAAAGAAAAAGGTGTTGCGGAGCGGCGCGGCCTAAATTTTCGCTGCTGTCACCGCCGCCGCCTGCTCCATCAAGCCCTTCATAACTGTAAATTTATGCACTTTCTTGTTGTAACTTATGCAATTCAAGATGCACATTAGATTGCACTCTAATTTTGTGTGTTATTGGGGGTTTTGGCCACAGATCTATCGCCCAGACTTTCTATTAGAAATGCAACACGCCCGGACCACGGAATTACCGACCAAGTAAAAAAAGAGAAGAGTGAAGCGAACGTGGCAAATAGTGATGGCCAACATGCCATTCTGTAGCCTATCGGGAACGCAGAAAACCAACAGTCGACAATGCGACTATCGATAGTTGATCGGTAATCACTTATCGTTAGGTGGACACCCAGTCGAAGCTGAGAGCTCCCAGAGCTGTAGATCTCGCTATAAATTCTGCTAGGACATCGTACGTTTCGTTGTATGATCTGGTACATCGTTATACTGTTTTCAGCTATATTTAATTGGTAATAAATAACAAGGTGTATTCACCTTGTACCATATGGAAGTACAATTTACCAGGGACGACGAAAGCGAGTTTCGATAGTCGATAGCCTGATAGTTGTGTGCCTGCCACCTCTAACTACCAAACACAAAGGGTAAAACACCCCCAAATCTGTGGAATTTCCGGAAGTTTATCTATTCATTCATTTGGCGATAAAGCAAACACAACAGACGCAACATGCCAAAGCTTAAGAACTTGCTGCCCAACATATTTGGCGGTAGCAAGGAGGCACAAAGCATGCAGCCTGAGGGGCGACTGGAAGCAGATGCAGCGCCTGTCAGTGATAGCGAGGCAGATAACAACAATAGTGGAGCCTTGTCTATCAGCACCCCGACAGCCTCAGCCGATCTGACGGAATCGGTCCTGCGGGAGCTGTCCGACCCAAACTACAACTCAATGGATGTTGTGCAGTCCGCGAACATTCCTGGGGCCGGCGGGGAACTCAGCGCAGTCAACACGAATAACACCATGAACGTACACAGCGCACAGCAACAGGTGGTTATGAACTTCTCAAATGCAAGCAATCTACACTTTGGCTCCGTGTACAACTTTAACCAAAATCTAAGTGCCAGTAGCTCGCGAAAGAGTAGTTTAAGCACAACAGACGAGGTGGCCGTCTCACCAGATGGTAAACGGTCCAATGTTACGCGCAAGACAGTCAGCATTGTGGCCATGATGCAGTCTCAGGATGAGCCGGATCAGCGGCTGCTGGACGCAGTGGCTACCCATTTAGGCGAGGGATGGAAGCAGGTGATGCGGGACTTGGGACATTCCGAGGGCCAGATCGACCAGGCCATAATTGATCATCAAATGCACGGCAATATCAAAGAGGTGAGACATCCAAAACTGTGCGAATTCCAGTCATTGACGACGCTCTGGTTTTTTTTGTTCTCTAGGTGATTTACCAACTTCTGCTCCAGTGGGTACGTAGCTCTGAGAGCGGCGTAGCCACCGTCGGACGACTCACGACACTGCTTTGGGAGTCACAGCATCGCGACTGCGTGCAGCGCTTGAAACTGGTCTGGAAGGCATTGGAGAAACGCAAGAAGAACAGCTAGCTGGATAGCTCACGCCAAGTCCACTCCCCCCATCAAACAAAAATGATCTATTCGATGCACTTTTTCAACGACCAAACAGCTGGGAGAGAGCCAATATTCAAATGCTTTATTTACTGACATTTTTAAGATGTTCAATAAGGCCTCCTCTCTGCAGCAGTCCACATGAAACGAGAGAGGGCCCTCTATTGGCCTCCAACTACTTGTGCAATAATTGTTTAAATAATCCAAACCTTCGAATAAGTACATAGAACTTTGTCCTAAATCATTTCTAAACCAGTTTGTCTTTATCTTTAAGATGTGATATCTTTGTCGTAAAAGGGCCCACATAACCACAAACATATGTACGAGTATGCACCATAAATTGGATTTAGAATATTGCTGCGATATTCACTAACCGTTCTTATTTATTGTATAATTAAGTGAGTGCCTCGTCGCATGTTTAACCTTGGCAGATAAGCTTTCAGCTCTGAAGGTCACACGATCTTTGTGATTTTAGCATTAAACATGTCAATCAACATCTGTGCGCCGTTGCCGTTGATAGACCGGTAGTTGTCTCGTCCGGCCATTCGGCCTAACCAAGCGCTAAGTCCTGGATAGCGCTTCGGATCGATGGGTGCCAGGCCCACCAAGCTGGACACAGACGATACCACACTAAAATCTGCTATGGTTATGCCGGCTCCACACAGGTACAGCTCGGCGCCAATGAAGGCCTCCAAAAAGTCGTAGGCTTCGTAGATGGCGTCGATCTTGGATCGAGGAACTTCCGTCTCATCGCGGTAGAACAGCGGAAGGGCTATATTCCTGATGCAGTTTTGGAAAAGTACAGCAGATTCAAAGTGCATGCGTTGATCCACAACGGCGCGCTTGAAGAAGTCCTTGGGGTACAGGACATCGTCCTTGGCGTACTTCCGCACCAGATAGGCGCAGATGGCGTGGCTCTCCCAAATACATTTTCCATCATCCTCCAGCATGGGCACCGTGTGCTGGGGATTCTTCAGCTTAAACTCCTTGGTCTTGTGCTCGCCAGCAAGTAGATTAACCAGCTTGTATTCGTACTGAAGCTGCAGTGCATCCAGCGTCAGTTTGCAGGCCCTCACAGGTGGACTCGGGTCCAAGCCGTACAGCACTAGTTTTCCCATAATTTCCAGCCGTGTCGTGTACAAGCTGCGACGGTCGATTTGAAACTAAACCAAGTATCTCACCTTGCAAAGCGCTCTCCAATCGAGCTTATGTACATATGTACATATGTATGTATTATTCCAATTAATTTAGCAAAACAGCTTTTCAGGCTGAATTGTTTGTCATAGATGCAGTGGCAGTCGTCGTCGTCCTACCTGCCTCGTGTGAATTTAGTTTACGTAATCCAGATTGCTTTATTTTACCCGTTAGATTATATATACTTATATAATGATACATACTCGAACGTGCCTACATATTTACACGTACTACAGTCGAGTACTCCGATTATAAAACAGATATTCGCTGCTCAGATTTATAGAAGTGAATTAATCAATTCTCTCTCCGCTAATGCTGATGAATGCTGATGAATACTTTTACATTTTATGTGATCGACAACGCTACCCTACCTTCCGTTCTGTTACATATGCTTGTAATAGTATACCCTTGGAAACTACGGCTACTGGGTAAAAACATCACAACTTGGAATTATTTGTTTCCAAACTTGATTCGCTCAAACTGTTTGGTTCGCCCTTATCGCCTTGATAAGCATTCGTATTTATCGATTCGTTGGAAATCGGTTGCCCAGAAACAACTAACATGGAACTTATATTTTGTTCACTTGTTAAGGGAGCAGTTGACAGAACAATAATTATGTATTACTCGTAATTGGTTGAGAGTTGCTTCTAGATCTCTTAAATATTCTCTCTTTTTCCATTATCTATGGTTCGGCCTGAGTACAGTGGGAGTCTGATAATACGAGACTCGTACAATATAATTTCTTTTAAATTATTTTTGATGGAATTTATTGGGGCTCTCCATATGGAAGCATATATGTACATCAATTTAGAGATGGATTAGGACGAGAAGCTCAAGTTTGTCGGCTTGATAATGGACAAGAAATCCTGGGCACCTTTGGCATTGGCTTCCTGGTAGTAGGGGAGCTGTTCCAGCCGCTTGATCCAGGCACTGGTTCTCACATATTTGGCGTGATCGAGCTCCACAAAGGCCACCAGCGAGGTGATGCTTGACACAATGCTAAAGTCCGCGATGGTCAGCTGATTCCCGGCGATGTAGTCCTGGTCCTTGAGGAAAGTCTCCACAAAGTCATAGATCTCGACAATGGCCTGATAGCGCTCTTTGGGAAATACTTTCTGATTAAAGAACAACAGAGACTTCGTGATGCTCCTCAGGCCATCGGCAAAGACCACTCCGCTCTCGAAATGTAGACGCTGATCGACCACGGCCCGTTGCAGCAGATCCTTGGGGTACAAACGGTCACTATCGCCATATTTGGACACCAGGTAAGCATTGATTGCGTGCGAGTCCCAAATGAAGTGGCCGTCCTCCTCCAAAGTGGGCACCGTGTGCTGTGGATTCTTCTTCACATACTCGGGCGAAAGCTGTTCCTTTCCGGCGAGATTGACATTCACATAATCGTAGGGCAGGTTCAAGGCCGCCAGCGTCAGCTTCACAGCTCTCACTGGTGGACTGGCATCCACTCCGTACAGTGTTAACTTAACCATATTGTCGTTGGGGGGCTGGGCTCGCTAATGATCAGCGGACAGCTGGAAACCAACCGTTTTATACAGACTTTATGGAAGAGAAACAACTGAGATGATGAGAAATTCGCACCCACAAGAGTGCCTAGAATTGTGAAATTGGGAAGTTCGCCTGTCCATTTTTCTAGGGCATACAATAGCTGAGGTGAGGTCAAAGTGCAATTAAATATTTGCAAATACATGCAAACAAACAGTGAAGGCACCTCACGACACGACGAGTATCTATGAGAAGAGAGTATCTGTGGCCGAAGAGAATGCCACAATTAAGAGCAGATAAAGAGAGTGGAACACAATATTACAAATAAACCAAAGAAGAGCCGAATCGAACACCAGCAGAGCGATAAGCAATTATCAGTTGTTTGTGCCGCGATTCTGAAGTAAGTCTGAACAAACATTGAACCCGATGGAGACTCTCCCCCGGTTACAGAAAAGGTATGGAATTGCAATCCATTGGAAACTTTATGGCGAGTGCAAAACTGCAGTTGGGTTTTTAATTACCTTCTGGCTAGAAAGCTGTGCATTTGGTGTGCGAATTCCACGTTGACTATCACCCCATGCACTCTTCACTTGCTATATATGTATGTACACACGTATGCACATAATACATCAGTATTTAACAGATACAAATCTACGGAGTACCATTAGATATGGGGGAGGGATTGGGCGAATATATTTATTGAGGAATCTTTGCTACCACAGGCTTAGACAATTGTAAAGTTCTTGCTCTTGAAAAAGGCCGCACACTGCTCCAGTCGTTTGCCGTTGCCTTCGGCGTAGTAGGGCAGTTGGGTAATGCGCTGCATCCAGGCGGACAGCTTTGGATACTTGGCAGCATCGACCAGCAGGAATATCTCAATCGTGGACAGGATGGCGATGATGTGAAAATCGGCAATAGTCAGATGCTTCCCGGCGATGTATTCGTTGATAGTCAGGAACGTCTCCAGAGTGGTGTACACGTCCTCAAGGGCATCGATCCTGGCCTTGGGTATTTGGGTCTCGTTCAGACGAAACAGTGGGAAGGTTATGGCGCGCAGGGTTCGACCCACAACGCTGGAGTCGTAGTGCAGACGCTGATCCACGATCGCCCGCTGCTGCAGATCCTTGGGGTAGAGAGAGTCCTCCTTGCCGTACTTGGCCACGAGGTAGGCATTGATGGCGTGACTGTCGTACAAGTAGAAGCCATCGTCGTCCAGTGTGGGGACGGTGTGCAGGGGGTTCATCTTGAGGAATTCCGGCTTAAGCTGCTCCTTGGCCATCAGATTGACCACTTTGTACTCGAAGGGCAGTCCCAGGGCATTCAGGGTGAGCAGCACAGAGCGCACTGGGGCGCTGGCATCGATGCCATAGAGTATCAGCCTTCCCATTCTGCCTCGAAGTGAACGGAGCTAATGGTTGCACTTTCTACTTATTCCCCCGCTTGCTGAGTTTGTTGAGTGGAGAGAGAGCTTCGATGAGTACTGCAAAGCTTTGTGCACTGAGGAAGTGTTCTCTGGTGCTCTTTGGAGTGCTCGAACTACGGGTTTAACTCTTACTGCGTGCTCTCTGTGCGGGCTTGGGGTTCGCCGAACTTCATTCTAGGGCACGACTGTGAAGTTCTTGGACTTCATAAGCTGCATGAACTGGGTCGCTCCACTGCCGTTAGCCTCCTCGTAGTAGGGTAGCTCCTTGAGGCGCTCCAGCCAGGCGGCTATCTTGGGATACTTCGCCGGATCAAGCTCCAGGTAGACGCCGAGCGAGCTGATGCTCGACACAATGCTAAAGTCGGCAATAGTCATGATATCCCCGGCCACGAAGTCGTTCTCCAGAAACGTTTCCAGGAAGTCGTAAACCTCGTTGATGTAGTCCACATTGGCCTGCGGCAGGGTGTTGCCGCCCAAGAAGAGCACCGGCCTGGTGAGGCGACGCAGGGCAGCCTCGAAGATGACCCCCGACTCGAAGTGCATTCGTTGGTCGACAACAGCCCGCTGCAGCAGATCCTTGGGGTAGAGTTCGTCGGTCTCCGCGTACTTTCCCACCAGGTAGGCCATGATGGCATGCGAGTCCCATAGGTAGGCATCGTCGTCCTGCAGCATGGGCACCGTGTGCTGGGGATTCTTCTTCAGGTAGTCCTCGGCGAAGTTATCTTTCGTAAGCAAATTCACGTAAACATACTCAAAGGGCAGCTCCAAGGCCTTCAGTGTGAGCAGGCAAGCCCGTGTTGGGGGACTGGCGTCCAAGCCGTACAGCGAAATCTTGCCCATGGTCGAACGGCTGATAACTGATTGGCAGATCCCGTCCAAAATCACTTATATACTGCCCCAGGGCGTGGGAACTGTCATCCAGCTGATGAATATTTGATAGGTTCTGCCCAGCGTGTCACGCCACCCATGCGGGCCACCCATGGCATCCGTTGCACCCACTCCACCCCAGTCAGTTGGCATGGAAAAGTTGTTGTCAACAAATTGGATTTGTTCCTTAATTAGCTGCGATTAAAAATGCATGACCAACCAACAACTGGTGTGGGAAAACACTGCATGCCAATCAGGTCGTCCTCAGAATGTCCACGCACCACGACCCCATAGTGGGTCAGCTCTGATATGCGCCTCTTCGGCTTGCGATTAAAGCTAGACAGACATTGATATTCTATAAATATGTTTTAATTGGTGGCCATCCACGTTGTGGGGATGTTATTGATTACCTCCAGCTCGAGCTGTTCACCAGATCTCAGGGCAAGATACCACAGAGAGGTGTATCAGAGTTTCTTGGAGCTTTATAGAGAAGCTAAATGCTCTCAACTTAAGAGTGAGTCGCGGTGTTGTGTTCATTTAGAAGTTCTTCCCAAAGAGAAACAGCAAAATATTAAATTTAAATACTGACTCATTCATGACCTAGGCGAGCTTTAATGACTCGGCATCTTTAAAGTCTGGAAAAGCTTTTTCTCTTTACTCTTACAGCAATATTTTGATATTTTTTAGTCATTTGTTTGTTCGATGGCAATCCCACCCTTTGCTGGTGAAGGGCAATAACTTTTTATAATGTATAAATTTATTAAGTGCAGTTAAAATATTCAAATATTACTATGGTCTCAGACAATTGTAAAGTTCTTGCTCTTGATGAACTCTATGAACTGAGACACCTTCGATCCGTTGGCCTCCTCGTAGTAGGGCAATTTTTTGATGCGCTGAAGCCAGCCTGCCAGATTGGGGAATTTTCTGGCATCCACTTCGAGGAAAATCTGACTGCCTGACAGGATAGCGATGACGCTGAAGTCGGCAATCGTCAGGCTATTTCCAGCCAAGTAATCGGAGCTCTTCAGGAACAGGTTCAGCGTCTCGTAGACGCCCGCAAGGGCATCGATTTTGGCTTGGGGGATTTCAGTTTGGTTTTCCCTAATCAGGGGAAACGTGATTGCCCTGGCGGTGCTGCCAATTACACTGGAGTCGTAGTGCAGACGCTGATCCACGATCGCCCGCTGCTGCAGATCCTTGGGGTAGAGAGAGTCCTCCTTGCCGTACTTGGCCACGAGGTAGGCATTGATGGCGTGACTGTCGTACAAGTAGAAGCCATCGTCGTCCAGTGTGGGGACGGTGTGCAGGGGGTTCATCTTGAGGAATTCCGGCTTCAGATGTTCGCCACCAAACAGATTGATCACCTTGTACTCGAAGGGTAGCCCCAAGGCGTTCAGGGTGAGCAGCACAGAGCGCACTGGGGGACTGCCATCGATGCCGTAAAGAGTTAGTTTTCCCATATTGCTGCTTGGAGTTGAATAAGAGACTGTTGTTCATTCGTCCAGCACTTTTCCCTTTATATAGTCTCGAAAGAGAAGAGAGAAGAGAGCTTTGCAATGCTATGCTGACTCTGCACTTTATATGGGAGTGGAGTCGAGTCGAGTCGAGTGGGGAGTGGAATGTGCTCTTTCATGTTGAAATTCCCTCTTTTATGATGACATATTGTTGAGTACAAAAGCTCTTTCTACATTTTGTTTGTGATTAATCTGCGGTTTCGATTCGACGCTCAGCGAATGGAAGGCACGAGAACATAAATAAACACACAATCAGGTTTTTGTTTTAGTTCATATCTCATGTTTATTTTTGATAGATTTGGACTAAGTTAAATAATCGGCTGTATTCCCCCCGACCGTAGAATCTTATCAATATTTTAAAAGAAACGAAATTTCATTTTTAATTGATTTACAGCTTTTACAGGGTGGTCAAGGATCCTTTCAGCGAGCCAATGTACTTGTTCTCGTCACGTAAGTTATCCTCCGTATAGGTGGGCAAGTAGTCAACGAGTTTCAACGACGGGAACTGAGCTCGCTTTACCATACTTTGAATGGAGCACTTACGCCAGATATATTTAAAAACGAGAAGGAACTTTTGAGTCGCTTCTGGGGACGCGACTCTACTTATACCCGTACTCAGTCAATATATACATTTTTGAGCTTATAATTTTTTAGAATTTTAGAATTAAAAAAAAAATATTTTAAATTTGTTTGCTACATCTGTTATCTACATCTACAATGTATATTTTACATCTAACATGTAGATTACGCATGTACCATTTAGTTTCTACATCTCCTCCGTGAGGGGTTGCTCGCGCACTGAACGCGGCAGAGTGTGCGAGCGAGAAAGAGAACGAGTAGCGGGTCTCTGTCTGGAGGGGGCGGAAGAACCAACATAAAATTTATTTCTTCATTCTGGCTATAATTATGATCCGATCTAATTCAGATTCTACAATCTGGTATATATGGGCATTCTCTACGATACTGCGTTTTTAGATTTATCGTAACTTCAAAATGGTGCCTGCCACAGATTTTCACCCTTTGTGGGTGCGGAATGGGGCGGGGCGAAATTTTGAAATACACTTGTAGCATGTGATATCACATGAGTCTGGAAACCAAATTTGGTTTCTCTACCTCTTATAGGCTCTGAGATCCAGGCGCTCATCGAGACGGACAGACGGACATGGCTATATCGACTCGGCTATTGATGCTGATCAAGAATATATATATCAAGAGGTCGGAACGGTTCAAAATTTATCTCAGTTTTGATATATATCACTAGAATCATAGCTCTAACTTAATTTTTTGAATTTATGCCAACATTTTTCTGTCCCAATGTGCACTCGAAGGGCAAGCCCCAGGCTAAATACCTTACAGTACAATATTCGCCATTATTCGATCCGGGCACACGAGAATTCAAGAGCCAAATGCGACTGACACTAGGTAGGGCGTTGTGTGGCTTCGGGAACAGCTTTGCATCCGCCAGAAAAGCGTTGCCAAATTAATTTCAATGAACAAACAATTGAGTAAGCCCCTATTCATACGTATATTAAATAAACAAATGGTTTCGGTTGGACTTTATTTGTGTTTGCATATACTTAGGCCCCCAGCTTGGTCCACTGGCTGCGGAGAAAGTCGCAGTAGTTCTTTGCTGGGGCTTTGTTGATCTGCTCAAAGTAGGCAACCTTGTTGAGGCGCTCCAGCCAGGCAGTCACCTTGGGATACTCCAGAGGATCGATATCCACGGCGGCGGGCAGTGAAGTCACTGTGGGCCCGCAGCAAAGGTCGGCGACTGTCAGCGTGTCGCCCACGAGAAAATTGCTGCTGCCCAGGAAGGTTTCCAGCAGCTTCAGACCTCTGTGGATGGTGTCGAGCTTCTCCTGCGGCACCTCCTTCACTCCGTTCACCCAGAATGGCCCACTCACATTGGCCAGGGAGGGAAAGAGGACACTGGCGTCGAAGAACAGACGTTGGTTGATGGCGGCCCGCTTGGCCAGGTCCTTTGGGTAGAGCTCATCAGACTTTGCATATTTGTCCACTAGGTAGCTGACTATGGCATGCGAGTCCCAGATAATGGTTCCGTCGTCATCCAGCACTGGCACCGTGTGCTGGGGGTTCTTCTTCAGGAACTCCTCGCTGAGATGTTCCCCGCTCTGCAGGTCCACCTCCTTATACTCGTACGGCAGCTCCAGTGCCTTCAGTGTTAGCTGGACAGCCCGCACACATGGGCTCATATCTATGCCATAGAGAACTAATTTATTCGACATTGTGCAGCGACCACTGAATCAAACGTTTCAATTGCGAATGATCTGACTTTCGCTGTGTACGCTCTGTTCCAGCGTCTCGTATCTACGAAAAGCTCCGATCAGAGCTAAACAGAGAACAGAGAGCAGAAACACGGCAAAATGAATAAAGCTCTTACTCAGCAGCCATAACGAATTTGTTTATACTGGCAAATATCAGAGCAGTCCCCCTCCCCCAGCAAATCAATTTCTTCAGAGTTATGATTTGTTTCCAATGTATGTAAAAATATGTATGTACATAGGCAGGTACATATGAACAATGTGTCCCCTGATTCTGCAGAATCAGTTTAAAATGATATAATTCGATTTTTCTATTTGTTTGTTCTCCTCTGACTAAGCTCCCATTTCTCTATGCCTTGCACTAACACAATCATGTGGTTTGTATGTACATACATTTGTATGTATGTTTGTATGCATATTAAAGGCAGCGGAGCTTAAAAGTTCGAAAAAGCCTAAATAGGCTTTAAACGCTGAAAAGTTCGTTTGCAACTTTGAAAGCTTCTTAAGCTTTTCATCCAAGCTACTTTCTGACTGTCTTTCGCCAATTCATATATTTCTTGTAGACTTTTAACTACTCTTTCGATGCAAACTATTTTGACCAGAAAACAAACGTATCCAAAAAAATTAAAATAAAAATATGTCCCTACCCTACCCGACTAATAAGTTCTTAAAACTAATTATTTTACTATATGTTCCACCCCGTACGAGAGTACATCGTTCGGCGTACAACTGTGGCACACTGTGCCTATTATGGGCACATAAATCATGTGGAAAGGTGAGCAAATATTGTGGTAGCCGTCGAGTAGGGTCGGGTGGCGGTGGGAGGGAGGCATTAGTCGCGGTCCGACTTATCTGTGGCATTAATAAACAATCAGGCAAAACTTAAACTTGCAGCATTATGACGTCTTTGCGATAAGTATCAAATTCTTTCCTTGGTATCTAATCTTATCTAGTCTGTAGTTTAAAATCATTTTAATCACTGGCTGTGGTCGTGGCCGCCCTGATTCCGCCCGTTGTTGGTTGCTCAGTGTCTGTTCAGAATCTCAATCTGCCAAGCAAGCCCCATTTTCTCCCAAATGGTTCATCTGATCCTCTATGGCACGGAGACGAGTCCACCGGTGCGGGCTGTCCTTCTCACGCTGCGCGCACTGCAGCTGGAGCACGAGTTCCGGCGACTGGACATGCAGGCCGGGGAGCACTTGGAGCCGGAACTGCTGCGCAAGAACCCGCAGCACACGGTGCCCATGCTGGAGGATGGCGAGGCCTGCATCTGGGACTCCCATGCCATCATTGGCTATCTGGTGAACAAGTATGCCCAGGACGATGCCTTCTACCCCAAGGAACCGCTGCAGCGGGCGGTGGTGGATCAGCGTCTGCACTTTGAGACCGGTGTGCTCTTCCACGGCTGCTTCAAGCCGCTGCAGCGGGCCCTTTTCAAGGAGAACGCCACCGAAGTGCCCAAGGACAGGATAGCTGATCTCCATGACGCGTACGCCCTTCTGGAGCAGTTTCTCGGCGAGAATCCCTATCTGGCCGGCGGCCAATTGACAATCGCCGACTTCAGTGTGGTGGCCACGCTGAGCACGCTCCACCTGAGCTACTGTCCCGTGGACGGCGCCAAGTACCCCAAGCTGTCCGCCTGGCTGGCCCGCCTCTCCGCCCTGCCCCACTACGAAGAGGACAACCTGCGTGGCGCCCGCCTGCTCGCGGAACGGGTCCGCGCCAAGCTGCCCAAGCAGTTCGACAAGCTCTGGCAGAAGGCCTTCGAGGACATCAAGGGCGGAGCCGGCAAGCAGTAGCCACTCGCAAGTGACTGCTCTCCTCATTGTTGATACACTTTGTGCCTACCTGTACATGAGTCCGAATAAAGTTCGCCTGTCCACTTTACTGCCTCCCTTTCCAGTGCCCCTTGTCAAATGCAGTTCCAATGGCAACACAGTCGAAAACTTTGAAACTTTTTTGCGCTCATTAAAATTACAAAATTTTCCCCCTACAAAGCGACACAAAATACAGAGAAGAAGGACAGACGGACGGACGGACGGACGGAAGCAAGGGAGTTGGGGTACGGTACGGTACGGGCACGGATGAAAAGCGCAAACTTTTCCCTGCCGTGTCGTGCATGCTGAAGTTGTTAAATCATAATTAATTTATGACGGCGCCATCCGCCGAGTCCGCCTCGCCTCGGCAGCCCCTCGTTGCGCCTCTTATCTACACTCCAGCCCCCAGCTACTCCATAGACTGCTCCGTCGTTTAAAATACTCTTAAAAATCAGCAGCCCAGCGCCGTCTACCTGCCTGGTGTAGGCAAGCAACCTCCCAGGCACCGAGCTAGCGATGCGAATGTCCTGCATTGTGTTCGCACACTCACGCAGCTCACGGACCCCATACATACCATACATACATATGTACCCAATACCGGAGAAGTACTCCGGATAAGTACAAGGAGTAAAATCGCTGTAAATAATAATTTTCTACTTAAACAGATCACGTCTGAAAATCAAACGATTCGGGGAATTAAAACTAATTTTAGCATCAAGATCCCTTGGCACCGCTCCTTCTCGTCAATCGAGAACCTACAAGGATTCAGTAATCACAGCTTACGAATAAAATTCTATTCTGATAAAAATTATTTATTTTCCAACTCAACCAATTTAATGTACTTATCGCATGTCTCGTACTACGATAAGTGCCAGTACTAACGCTCGTGACATCCATTCCGTCCGCACATATCTAGGACTTGGGGAGTACCTACTGCGTGGCTCCTTATACCGCCTGGTTTTATGCGCCTCATTGCAGCTACGACGTCGCCGAGGATGGTGGCGGGAAACTAATTGGTTTAATTTCAACTTTTACTTTGGCCGTGCGCTTCCCCTGCCCGTGACCGAGCTCATGCCCTTCCGTGAGAGCCCTGCCACCACCCCACCCGCCCCTTTTCCAAGGCATTCGAGATTTTTGCTTTGCTTTACGCTTCACCCGCCACTTCACTTTCGGGGCGGGAAGCTTTTTGCGTTTACTTTCCGCGTTTTTACGGCCTTCTTTTTGTTGGTTCGGTTCGTATCCTTGCCTGCCCATTCCACTCTAAGTGTGGTCAGAAGAAGGCACATCAATGTTGCGATTTGCGTAGCTTAACATCTGAGGAAAACAGAACCAAAACGAGAAGGAACGTGTGAGTCGCTTCTAAAGACGCGACTCTACTTATACCCGTACTCAGTCAGTACATTTTACATATTTTTGCTACATCTGTTATCTACATATATTATGTATATTCTACATCTAACATGTAGATTATACATGTACCATTTAGATTCTACATCTCCTCCGCTAGGGGTTGCTCGCGCACTGAACGCGGCAGAGTGTGCGAGCGAGAAAGAGAATGAGTAGCGGGTCGTTGGCAGGAGGGGGCAGAGGAAGTAACTGAAAATTAATTTCTTCATTCTGGCTATAATTATGATCCGATCTGATTCGGCAGTCTGGTAGATATGGTCATTCTCTACGATAATGCATTTTTAGTTTTATCGTATCTTTAAAAATGTGCCTGCCACAGATTTTCACCCTTTGTGGGTGCGGAAGGGGGCGGGGCGAAATTTTGAAATACACTTGTAGCATGTGATATCACATGAGTCTGGAAACCAAATTTGGTTGCCATAGCTCTTATAGTCTCTGAGATCTAGGCGCTCATCGAGACGGACAGACAGACGGACGGACAGACAGACAGACAGACAGACGGACAGACAGACATGGCTATATCGACTCGTCTATTGATGCTGATCAAGAATATATATACTTTATGGGGTCGGAAACGTTTCCTTCCCTGCGCACCCCCACATCCACCTTTACCACAAATCTAATATACCCCTTAACTCTTTTTTGAGTACGGGTATAAAAAACCCTTAAAATGCCACAACTCGACCTTATCCCAGTCGAAGTCCCGCAACTTAAGCTGGAGGTATCGGGAATGCGAATGGAATCCTTCCCCTTAAATATATCCACCAGAATTGAAATGACACTCAACGAGTAGCGGCTTATAGTATGAGCTTTATTCTTTTTCTTTTATATTGTTTTTATTACTCACAAAATAATCAAAAAGATGCAATCGAAATGAAACGAATGAATGCCGGAGTGCGAGCTACGGATTTCTCAAGTCTACAACCTACAGTCGATATTTTATGCTCCTGAGAATCGGATACTTCTCGCCCGCACACTGACCGCGAAAGTCATCGAGGGACACGTCGTGGAAGGCCACTCCGCCAAGTCCTTGAGCCTGGGCAAAGCCTGCCTTGATGGCCGCCGTTGTGGGATCTTCGTAGCCCACCCACAAGCCATTTTGGCCATTTTCATCTGCCGAGCGGTAGGCATAGATGCCGAACCGCTTCGTTGGATCTCCCACCTTGCGCAGCTGTGGAGCCTCCTTGTCCTGGGGCTGCTGCTGGAGCAGCTCACAGATCTCCGGCCAGCTGAGTAAACCGGGCATTCCGATTTGCTTGCCAGCTGGAGCCGCTCCCTCCGCCGCGGGTATGGGCGGATAGCCAGTGATGCCGGAGTTCCTGGTCATGTTCCAGGAGCGCCCGTAGCTAGTGACGCCGATGTGCAGTTGGCCCGCATTCGAGCCGGATGTCTGGTTTAGCCAGTACTGCACCTGGTGCTGCACGTTGTGGGTGGGATCGCGGTCGTACATGGCGTACAGCGGCGCGGGCAGATCGCCGATCTTGGGATCCCGTTCCGGTGTGTGGAAGTCATAGGTTCCCAGGTTCACAAAGTCCACGTGCGCGAGCACCGAGGGAACGTCGATGAAAACTGTGAGTGGAGGAATGGAATTCAATGGAAGTGGATCCAGAGGAAGCTCTCAGTACTCACGCTCTGCATCGACGTGGGGCAGCATGCTGAGGGTCAAGAGCTTGCCACTGCGCTGCAAGTCGATTCGCAACTCCCTGACCAGAGTGGCAAACTGCTCCCTGTGCTCCGCCGCTTTGCTGTCCACCGAAGCCGCACTGAACCAGCCCCGGACCGCACTCCACGCCCGCTTCAGCACCCCCTGCTGCAGCTTGGGCCGGTTCATGGGGAACTGCCAGGCCAGGTCCAGGCCATCGAAGCCATAGTTGCTGAGCTCGGCCTCCACGCTCGCCCTGAAGCTGCTCCGATGCTCCGGCTGCTCCAGCAAGCTCAAGTACTTGCTGCTGTCTGCCACGCCCTCGGCGCTTAGATCCCGATTTCCACCCACCGAGAGGAGGAACCGAACGTGGGGATACTTTTGGCGCAGGGCAGTTATTTGGCGGTAATGCTGGCGATTGTAGCTCAGCTCCGGGTTGAGACTCTTGATCTTGTGGCTCTCCGCATCGATGCCTGCATAGCCGTAGACCAGAAAGTTGCAGAAACTGAGTGCAGGCTCCAGTTCAGCGAGCGACAATTGTGAGGGACCTGCCAGAATAAGAGCAGACGGAGGTGGAGCGACAGATAGCCTCTGATCTGTTTGGCACGCAAAGATTAGAAGTTCCCTCCCCTTCCCACTCACCTTCCCGCACAAAGCTTGCCGCATCGTAGAAGCAAACCAGCTTCCCCACCTCGGCCACGCTGTCGTGCAACAGGCTCAGAAAGCAGCCCAGCAGCAACGCTCCGTAGAAGACACAATGGGGCAGCATGACGATCTTTCAAGCCTCTGTCCCGTCCCGTTCAGCGTGAAGATCTATTGCGAACTGTTCAGGGACTGCGGTTTGTTTTGATGAACCCCCGTCAGAGCTGGAAAGCTGCGACAGACCTGATCTGATAAGGGGCTGTACCTGGGTAGTGTTCCGGATTTTGATTTTCGCCGAGAATCGTTCGAATTGATTTTATTGGTTTCCAGCTGCTCGTAACGAGGAATGAAATTGATGGAACCAACAATAGACAATACATTTTTAAAGCAGCGAGAAGGCTTTTCCTTCCACACAAAGTACATATTTTTATATATTCTTGATGAGCACCAATAGAATCGATAGAGACAGATCTCATAGACTGTAAAAGTCTTCTGAATACAGAAACAAATCTTCACCCGATTTTCACACGCTCCTTCCGCCTCCTTAAACCATGAAATTTTGTAAGTTCCTTAATGGGTAATTTTGAAGAATCGATAAGACCAAAAACGCGATGAAATAAAGAATAATATCTACTCTACAAGTATGTATATAGCTAATATTATAGAGCACATTTGTTTCTTTCAACATTATTCGAACACTTTCGAACACTAGTAATCCGAGAGCAACGCGCTTTTGAGAGCATACTTTAAGGGGGTACGCAAATCAGATATGTCGCCTCCATGGTTCAACGCCAACACAAGGCAATGGGCTCAGCACAACACAACACTTCCGATTTAACGGCTCCAATAATATTTGTTCGAGCTCGTAACGCTTAAATACATAAACTTTAATGTTCAGAACTACAGCAACAACATGACGATTTGTTCACTCCCCATGACGTAGCCAGAGCAACATACATAAACAGAACACAACACCACCTTGGGGTCACCACTCAGACATGGACGAGTGAGTGTCCATGGCCCGTCCCTCCGCTGTTGATTAGCAATGGTGGCATAAATAAGCCCTGTGTGTGGTAAGCTCTGGTCTTTCGAGGGAGAACTAGCAGAAACCCCTCCCTTTTAGCTGGTGTCAGCTGGCTGGAACAGGTGTGCACTCTCTGGTCGGTCAGCTATTGCTTTGGAGGCCAAATCAAATCTTTGCAACTAATCAGTTTGAGAGGGCAGCTTATAAACCAAAAGCATTATAGCACTGCAAGAAAACCAACCCACCGAGCCCGGAACACTTTTGAGACATAATTTAAGGGGTATACGCAAATATTCAGTTATGTCGCACTACATGGTTCAACGCCACACAAGGAACCTGGGCTAAGCATAAAACAACACCCCATTACGCTCCATATTTTGTGAGCCTCCCCCCAACAAAAACTAAGTGGGACAAAACTAGTTTGTCACTCCCAAGAAACCCAAGCAACTAAAAGAAAAACACCACCTTGGGGTCACCCCAGATGGACGAGGCCCAAGGCCAGCCCGTCCCTCCGCTGTTGGAAGCAATGGTGGAATGGCCTGTGGTCGTATGGTAGCCGGTTGGCATTAATGAAAAGCGGGCCTAGGCTGAGCCCATGGGGCCCAGCTGTATAGCTAGACTTTCAGCCTGGCGTTGGAAACGGTGGCTCTCCCGTGACTAAACCCAGACTCGCTGAGCGAAGCCTTCATGGCACTGTCCAATGGATAAAATGTATGCTGGAATACCAAATACATTGGAAGCAGGGGCCAAGTTCAATGGGCAGGATTGCCCAAAGCTATTTCATACCCATATCCTTAGCAAGAAAACCAAATATAAAAACAAATTAAAGCCAGAACATGCAAAATAAGTTTAAGTATTATTTTTGTTTGCCAGGCTGTATGGAATCAAAGGGGCATATTGTACAGAGAAGGTTAAAGTGGACCTATTGAGCCTCACAAGTGTGCTGTAATGTTATGGACGTGCTACCATGGACATATGTACATATTTCTTTAAACGTTATAAATTGATAGCGGTAATTTCATTTAAGTTTATCTTCATATGAGCTCTGTGAGCACTTTGCATAGTATAGGAGAAGATCGAAATTAAAAATAAAAAGAATACGTCTTGAAGAAGTTTACAAAAATTGCAGAAGACTTCTAATTTAACACAAATATTTCCATGAAATTAATATATATAAATAATGACTCCCATCACACATATCCTCCTCGAGAAATAAATGGTACGCTCTTGATTATTTGATAGACGTTTGGAACAGAATAAAGCATAAAAACCCGAATTATTGTAATAATTTACCTTTTTTCCATTTTCTAAAATTTATAAATACTGCAAGGGGAATAGTGGAACAGTGTTAGATGTATTGACAGACCGGCAAAGGTATCAACTACAGCAAACAGAGTAAAACCATAAAACGTAAAACGCCTAAGAAAACCACCAATACAGCACATATATAAATATTCTCTATTCGTGACTTTAGCTTTCGCTCAACGCTTCTCTTTAAGTGGGCACACTCCGGATAGTTTTACCAAATAAGCTGTAAGGTTTAATTGCACACCGCTTGAGTCTGACTGGAAATGTACGTAAGGGGCACGTCCCCACATATGTACATACATACGTACGTATGTATATGTATGAACGCATGTGTATGGTGCGTACTTTGGGAAGCTTCACCTAATGGCTTAGGCTTTAAATGTTGCCCCAGAGCAGCTTTAATACCTGAAAACCCTCTTGACGGGTGATCAACTTTGCCGAGTGCCATGTGGCAGCTGTCCCAGTGCTGCCACACCGCAACGTAATTAAATTGTTAACGCACACGTGTCAACGTACGTCCATACAAACATACAAATAATGCTCGTGCACGTGGACAGACAGTCACATGCATCTGGAGCGGTGTGGGATTCATTTAACCGTTATGCCTTTTACGCTCACAAATGTGGCCAAGGAAACAACACACAAACGCACAGCTCGATAATCCCGCGTAGCTGGGAGTTGGATGCGAGAGTTAATCCCTTCCTGTGTCTCCCAAAAGCTTCCCTATTCCCCACTCTGGCAGTCTCCCCTAAACTCACCAAAACACCACTCGAAACGCATTCAGCAGGGAGCCCTTGGCTGGGCGATTTAATGCAATTGAATTGATTTTGCGAACTAACATCGGAAAGCTAGGTATTCTATATAACGGGTAGATAGAGATCTGCAAGAGTATCAGATGCTTCGGCCTCGTGGCTGTCTTCCCTTTTTGTGAATCATTCGCTTAATTGCCAACAATGTGAGCCAACTCACACGGACAGGAAGGAACTTTTGCGGGAAAAGTTAATTCGACCGCAGACACGTTCATTTACGAGTACCTTCTGCGGAGGCACAGGCACATGCCATACCACAGACCCAGCCCTCACACAGACAGCATTAAACCAGTTTAATTTGAGCTCTCAGAGAGAGAGAGTCCTCCCAGGAGTTTGGAAAGTTTAACGAACTAAACTTTCGTAAATAGTTAATGTTTATTTTGAAAGGGGAAACACCACTTTGAGCTTCGGTTTTACGCAGCTTTGGGAGCTTAGAGCTTCGCTGTTTCCTGCTCCTTAATGAGTACTAAAATATTCCTATTTCAGTTAATACACACAATATCTGTACACATATACATATATATGCTAATATTCCTAAAATCAAAACTGTTTAATATTTTTTAGCTTAAAATCCAGTTTATTATTGGCATATGGATATTGCTTTTGAACCAAAATTTTAGAGTATTAATATTAAGTCTGATCAATGCTTAAAATACTAAGTCTTCGATAAATGTAAATTTTAAATATTTTCAATATTGCAGGGAAATAAACCGAAATTCAACTTAATTTTCAACATCTGCAGTTCTGTGGCTATCACCTCCATGATTCTGTTCAAATTATAATAATTACTTGCTGCACCGTGTAGCAAGTGCATACGTATTTATTTGCCATATGTTCCATAGATCATTCCGAGCTCAACGCCAATGTATATTGTAATATAAAAAATATAATCCGAATCAAATCACGACGCAATGGCCTCAGATACATTTCATGGAAATCAAACAAATCTGAACGCGTTGCTATATATACATACATACATATTTACATACATATATATGTACGTAGATTGCACTAGCTACGAGTATGCACATAAATCGAAAAATGCGCAATTTACTGTTGATCGGTAGCGCCAGATGAGGTTATAAAAGAGACCTGTTCTCGGCGATCGTCAGATTAGTTGCTGCCAAGTACCCGAATCATTTACAACATGAAGTGGCTGTCGACTGCCTTCGTTCTGGGTCTTTTGGCCCTGGCTAGTGGTGAGTTGGAGACTATATACTGAGTACCGTCAAGTCCACTAAGTGAGGATTTCTTCCATGTCTAGCCAACCCCCTGAGTCCTGGCAACGTGATCATCAACGGGGACTGCAAAGTTTGCAATATACGAGGCGACTAAGTCCTGAATCAGCGGGAATAAAAGCTTTCAAAATATGCAAAAATGAAATAAAACGAATGAAATTAATTTCTGGTGCAGTTTATTTAGCTATTCGCTTGGCCATTCCATCCACTGCATCACACATCATTATCATCATCATCTCCACATTAGCCCCCATGCACATTGCAATTACGGCAATCTCCGTTTATTATAACGTTTCCCGGCGTCAGCGGGGATGCTGTGGAAATAGAATAGAACTTCATGTTAAGGATTGCTCAGGCCAAATTGGATTGTCCTTAAAGTTCACTTCTCTGTCAACTCACCACTGGCCAAAGCCAACAGACCCAAAACGAAGACCATAGACATCCACTTCATATTAATATTAAGAGCAATACTCTAGTCTCAACTGTGAGAGCTTCGGCTGGTTTGGTTGCTTTTATAGGCAATGGCAATGAAAGCACAGAAATTGCCCGTGAAGTCAGTATAAATCTGATGCGCTCACGACACATACATATAGTACATATAGCACATATTTTTATGTACTATACTCGTCTGACGGTCAAATGGAATGGGAAATACCCAATTGACTGAACTTTCCCAGTAGATAAGCCGCTGTACGTCGCACGGCTTGACAGAACAGCTGCAGCCGCGACTGATCGAGTGATGCAAAATAAAACCTAGCAAGAGGATTACTCTATTGCAGTTGTCTGATTTTATTCGCATATCTGGAACTACATTAACAGTGCTAAGGTGAAATTCAACGAACTTCTGACAGGGATTTTTGCATACTTACGAGTATTCAGCGCGTAGAAAACTAATAACAATTATTGGAACCGACTTTTAAATGGAGAAGAATCCATTTTAATACCTCGCACTCGTTCAACCAAAGGTATATAAATGTACTTACTGTTCTATATCTATCTGCCTGTCGTACATCTGTCCGTATAATTAAAAAACAACGTCACTTTTTTTATTTTGGTTCTTTCACAAGTTTATTAGCTTTTATTATCACCATTTGTAACTTTGCTGGCCATATATAAATTTCATATTCAATGCGAATTGTAATTTCAGAATTTTTTAATTCTGGGGGTCTTGCCTTGTTTATCAGTGAACGATTGTCGATTGATTCCTAGCGTATTCCCCTTGCGACTGTGTTTTTTCCCAAAAAACATATACACATACTATATAGCTTCCAAGAGATAATACATTTGATATATTTATGAATTTTTTAATATTTCCGCTAATACAAGGTACACACATTTATCTACCAGTCAATTATTTTAATTTTTATTCATTTTACTACACATAAAACTAGCTCAAAAGATGATATAGAACTCCAAACAGCATGGCTCCAGAAGTTAGGGCGAACGACACTGCCCCCGCCCTGGTTTCCTCGGGAATAACGATAGACTCATCGCCATCTGGTCGATTGCAATCAATGCACTTCCCATTAATGTACACCTTGCCCGGAGTGGCTGCAATTAGACACAGAAAGTAAAGATGTAACCCACTAGAAATCACATTGCAATATCAATTACCGTTGACCACAGCCAGAAGGCAGCAGAGAAGCAGCACGGCTGAGGCGAGTCCAATCGATTTCATGCTCGGTTCGGGGATTGAACGGAATCTGTTTTCAAACGGGCGATTGCGTTGTTCTTTTATATTGAAGCTGACTATAGTATTGATCTATATTTACATATACGTATAAGCTTATGTATGTACGTATATATATGTATATACGCACATATTTATATAAAGAAAGATTGCTAGTTGATCAAAATGTCCCCTAGCTAACGACTACATTTCCGATTAAGAGATACCCTGTACTCAACCTATATGTACAAACCCCACCCAATTTTGTATTAAAATATTACTTTAATTAATTGAAATTGAAACAAATTATAACGAGAAGGAACGTGTGAGTCGCTTCTGGGGACGCGACTCTACTGTTATACCCGTACTCAGTCATTATATACATTTTTTAGCTTATGATTTATGTAGAATTTTACAACATTTTACATTCTTTTGCTACATCTGTTATCTACATCTACAATGTATATTATACATATATTCTACATCTAACATGTAGATTATCCATGTACCATTTAGCAAGCAACAGAGTGAGCAACCAAGCAACAAATCTAATATACCCCTTAACTCTTTTTGAGTACGGTTATAAAAATTCTGCATAAATAAATTTAAATTGGAAATCGTTAATAAATACGAGAATTAACCTTTAATTTTTCTGTCGGTACTAATTGCTCAATGGTCAGGGAAGCATATACAACTGTATGTCTAATAAGAGTAGTTAACCTCCGAGATTCCTCTGCTTCCTATGGATATTCTGAGGCGTGAAGCATTTCTGCCGTCGATTCATCTTGCTGTTCCCTAAATCGAAACTAATCGAATGTATCCTGGCACTCTTAAAAAACTGATTAAGTAATCGAGTAAATTAGTGTTATATGTATATTTCATTTGTAGCAATTACAGATCTGTAAATTTAAAATTATCTAAAAACCACCAAAAATATTCTCCTCAAACCAATAAAATAGAAAAGTGTAATTTCAGTTTTAGATTGTTTTTATATTCGATTAGAATTCAGTTTAAGGCTTAAGAATATTTGACATTATATTATCTGGCGGTGTGTTGTGCTCATTGTAGCCGATTGCAGCGAACCATCTTCCTATGCTCCGTCTGCGACCTCCTCAAGACCTCACATTGCACACGCGGCAGTCGCCGTTGATGATGACATTTCCGGGGTTCAGTGGCGTGGCTGTAAATATAAACATTTGATTTAATCGAAATACAATTTTATAAATTTTTTGTTTCTACTCACCGTTAGCCAAAGCCGCCATCAGGCCCAGGACAAAGGCAAGCGAAAGGAATTTCATTGTGGATTGGATTTGGAGTGTTCGGCGTTGACTCGAAAGGATTGGGTGCAGGCAGGCAACTGATGCCGAATGCAACTTACAGCAATGCTTTTATACCCCCAGTGCTGGAACGGGTACCTACGCCAATCGCTCTTATCAGGGGCTGTCGCAGCGACGGGTTCGACGAAAAGGTTCCAATCCAATGCATCAGTTCCAAGCGGGAATTGCCCAGAGCCACCCCGACTCAGACAAACACAAATTCCCAAGTGCAGTGCGACGTTCTCAATGAAATTGAGCGTAAACAAGTGCGGGCAGAGGCGATAGGCCGGGGCTAGATTCGATTCACGTGCTGAGCTGAGCTCAGCTGAGATTGCAAACCTGATTCTGATTTTATTCCACTTGGCGCCTCACTGAGGTATTTCCCAGTAAAAAGACTTGTTAAATTCCGATGAATTAAAAAACTTGTAAGTGTTCTGAGTTAGCAAAACAAATCACTAAGCAAACAAAACACCTCTGAATATTCCAATTTCAGGTTGGTTTTTAAAGAATATCGCAATAGGGGAAAATGAGAGAGGGAGAGAATATTGGTTATAAGGTGGAAAGAGGACAGACGAAGTGCAGGAAGAAAGATTGGATAATTATACATGCAGGGAAAGGGTGTGGTTGTGTACACAGTTTTGTTTTTGGCTCATACCTTTTGAAAGCTAGAGGTCTTAGGTAACGGTCAGCGAAAGAACTAAATTTCATCCTTCATATAAAAAAATCAGCTTTAAGTTAATAAAGTAAATCACCAAAAATAAAGATAAAATTTAAGTTTATTTATTTTAAAAGCCTTCACTGGCATAAGGAACAAAAAAATATACGAATTTTCACATTATTCATTGCAATCAGATGCAAAAGCAAACATTGCATGTAAAGTAGCGCGTTCAAATTAATTTTTTGTAGATTAAATTATTTGTCCGGTGTTGATTAGGCTTAAAAAAGGTTTCGTTAACATCCACAAATTTATTACGCAGTTCACAAATTACAATGACAACGAAACATTAATATTTTTTGACAAAATTTACACCCAATCATCATAATTATAATCATAATAAAAACGAGAAGGAACGTGTGAGTCGCTTCTGTGGACGCGACTCTACTTTTATACCCGCACTCAGTCAGTATATACATTTTTGAGCTTATGATTTATGTAGAATTTTACAACATTTTACATCCTTTTGCTACATCTGTTATCTACATCTACAATGTATATTATACATATAAAATGTATGTAGATCCTACATCTTCTCCGCTAACGGGCGCTCGCATACATAACGAGGCAGAGTGTGCGAGCGAGAAAGAGAATGAAAAGCGGGTCTCTTGCTGGAGGAGGTGGGGGAAGCAACTTAAAAATAATTTCTTCTTTCTGGCTATAATTATGATCCTATCTGATTCAGAGTAGGCATTCTGATAGATATGGTAATTCTCTACGATAGTTGAGTATTTAGTTGTATTGTATCTTAAAAGTTGTGGCTGCCACAGATTTTCGTTCTTTGTGGCGGCACTTGTAGCAGTGTGATATCACATGAGTCTGGTAACAAAATTTGGTTTCTCTAGCTCTTATAGTCTCTGATATCTAGGGTTGGAAACGTTTCCTTCTCTTCGTTACGCACATGGAATTTTACCACAAATACAACCCCTCAACTCTTATAATAAGTTTTAAGTATTTATTTTTACATTTTCTTTGTTATGCTCCCAGCACCTCCACCAATGCTGATATTTGTTTAGCTATCAGCACGAAAACTGAGTATTGTCAAAAAATATGACTCACTATACTGAGATCAGTAGCATCTGCCTTTACCATACATATGTCTGTGTGTATGTATGAAATGAAAATGATTACCAGGTAGTGTAGTGTCCCAAAGGTCGAGACTGGTTTTGCTCAGACGGAATCCTTGCCTCCTTGCCACAATTTTAGAAATATAAAGCAAATCAGTTATCTTGATCCATCAAGATACAAACTTTCTTGTACTTTTTTGCTCAAGTTGATTTGGATATGTTACGTAAATCTATTTCAAAGAGAGGGAGAGAGAACTATTTCAGGACAAGAGCGTTCCACCCGTTTTTAATCTGATCCCTTCTTGAATCATGCTAACTGACGAGAATTGACTCGTTGTGCTCTCGTCTTCGCCGCTGTATCGCATAATACACACCACAATAAACTTTGCATATACTAAAGTGAACAGTCATCTTCTTTACTGTACTTTAAGAACGTGGAGATACTCCTTTCTCTGCGTTGCAAGTTTGAGGTCAACATCACAGGGTATGGGATGGATGGAGTATGCAGATGCAGAAGAATACGAAACAAGCGAAATAATTGAAATATATAAGTATGTATGTACATTGTCCATACGGTGCTCCGCTACCGCACCCACCACCACCACACTCCGTCTCCTGTACCACCCATTGCTGTGGCAACTATGCGTATGCGCAATGTGCCGACACGAAACGAAGCGAAAGGAAATTAAATAAATTATTTCCCTCGTACCCTCAGCGCTTGCATAATCCGATTAATCATTCCAGTCACAACAGAACTGCAGTTGCATTTGCATTTCGCATCTTTAAAATAACTTTGAACGAGAAATGTGGGCATGGGTTCTGTTTTGGTTTCACATATATTTGTATTTGTTGGTTTTGTTTGTTTGTTTTGCTGTTGTGTTGGTTCTAAGTTCTAGGCTTCATTTAAAGAAAGTGGTAGCATAAATATGGTGCATTAAGTTTGAGGTATGTTATGGATCTATGGCCTTCGGTCGATCTTCGGGCAAGGACGGGGCGTGCCTACTTTCCTCCATGGACATTGCAGTACTTGCAGTCACCGTTGATGACCACATTGCCGGGATCGGGCGACAGGGGAACAGCTGGGCAGAGGGGAGAAACATTATAGTATAGTAGACGTCAGAGCCAGTAAAATGCGCTTAACTCACCATTGGCCAGGGCGAGCAGACCGAGCACAAAGACGGTGACGACTGAGAAGAATTTCATGTTGAGTGTGGTTTTGGTTCTGTTTCTGGATCTGCTCTGGGCTAGTGCTGAATTGGTTGGCTTCAACTGATGCTGTCTCACAGTCGGCTGCGATCTTATATAGTCAGCTTAGCGTCGGGTCGAGTGCGCCCCACTCGACTCGACTCGGTTCAGGTGCAGTGGCCATTCAGATAACCCCAGACAGAGACCCGCTTGGGAAAACACAGCGCAACACAGCTAAAGCCGATGATAATACTATTATTTTTGCGTATTCGATTCTGGTTTTTCCACAGCCAAGAGCGACAGTGAAAATATATATTGTAAGCGCGGCAAGTATTCGGATTTCAAATACCTAGAACCCATGCTCGTACATACTGGATTTTGGATTGAAAATTTCTTATCTCAATGAGCAAAAGTCAATAGAGATCAGCTTTGTCTAGAACGTACGAGTATGTACGTATTCCAGTTCTATAAAATATATACTCACATTGCATATGTATTTACTTTGTATTATATATGTATATGCATTTATTATTGAAAGATGAACAGATAGTTCGGGATTGGGGTATAAAAGAAACGTGTCTGGCAGGGTGGGCAGTGCTCTAGCCCAGTGCACACGCGCATTATGAAGTACTTAACGCTCTTGGCTGTTCTGCTCTTGGCCACGTTGGCCTTTGTCCAAGGTCAGTGTCCGTTCGGAGCTGTGACTACTCCCCCGACTAGACGCGTCTAATCTCTTCCATTCTGCAGCTGGCAAGGTGACCATCAAGGGCGAGTGCAAAGACTGTAACCACGACCGCACGACAACAACCACCCGCAAGCCTGCAAGCCCCACCCGGGGACATGGACGCCAGACGACGGCCAAGCCCAAGCCAAAGGCAGCTTCAGGGGGCCGTCAACCAGTGTCAGATGAGGACGATTCGGCTGGGGACTGGTCATTGCACCAGACAGCTGGTGGATCTCAGCACATAGGAAGACGCCACAGACGTCAGTGGGAGCCGCGTGGCCAGTACATCAATCTTGGCGGAGCCAGCGGCGGAGGGTGGACAGGAGACGGCCGAGTGACTACCATCGATTCTCGGGGCTATCCAGGAACCCTTGTGCGCAACAATGACTGCGTCGGTTGCAACATTCGCGGCTGAACCGTTGCGGAAGGGGGAGGGGGATGGCTACAAAAAAGTTGATCTGAATAATTAAATAAAGGCTAGACAGCTGTGCGCTTCGTGGAAAACCCATTCAAACTAATTGTCTGTAAATCGAACTGGTTTGTGGGGGCTCATTCCCCCATGCCTGTGCGGGGCCTCGACTGAAAGCCATTGAGAATGCTTAAAAGCGATATGCTTTGGCGTTCCCCGAGTAGATCCCGCTTGTACACAGCTCCACAATGATGCATCTGAGCCTCGCCTTTGCTATTGCCGCTGTCCTGGTGTGCCTGGTTTCAGGTAAGCAGACGAGCGGCGTTCCTTTCCTATCCTCTTGACATCCCTTTGTCGCTCATCTCAGCCGGAACTGTGGTCATCAATGGAAGCTGCCGGGACTGCAGCCCCCCCGTCGCCGAGACTGTAGTTGTCGACGGCAAGGCCTACAGGTCGGGCAAACCAGGCCAGGGCTCCGTCTACATAAACTCCCCCGATGCCTATGGTCCTGTGGGTGGGCCTGGACCCAGAGTTGAAGGTGACGCCACTCGCTATCCCGAGGGCTACAGTGGCCGTGTTCCTGGTGACACCTATCTCCACAACGATGACTGTGTCGGATGCAGCATCAGCGGGGGCGGGGACTGAGTTTGCTCTATCGATGTGTCCACGACTGATATGAAATACAATAAACGAACGGCCCCAAGGCAAAGTCCAATATAATTGTTTGATTTGTTTTTTTCGGGAAAATATCAGGATACACATTTAGTATCGCTCAACTAGAATGTTTAGTAGTGGTACGGACAGACGGACAGACAGACTCGACTCGGCTATTGATTGATGATCAAGAATATATATACTGTATGGGGTCGGAAACGTTCTCTCTCTGCGTTACACACATCCACCTTTACCACAAATCTAATATACCCCTTAACACTTTTTTGAGTACGGGTATAAATATATACAGAAACTAAACTCGGAGCGAACCAAAATTAACCACGACCTCAGACCTTGTCTGATGCTATAATTGTGGATGCCTTTCATCGCATCCCTCGACATCCCACGTGATATTGTGGGAGTCCTAGACTAGTACTCATAGAGTCCTAGATCTAGAGCATACGCCTGAAGTTTCTTATGTCTTGTGTATCGCAGACTAATCTTGAACAGGGAAAAACTGAAGATGTGAGTGAACCACTGAACAAATAAACAACTGAATAACAAGTGTAACTGAACAAAAATTTAGTGAATATGTTTAGTTCACTTAGTGAAATGAACAGCTCTTTTTTGTTCACTCACTCATGAGCAACCCAACTCTACTATGCAGTGCGCGAGCGCCCCCTAGCGGAGAAGATGTAGACTCTTAATTTGAGATGTAGAATATACATTGTAGATTTAGATAATAGATACAACATAAATGGAACATGTGAAATATATTTCAAAATTCTACATAAATAATAAGCTCAAAAATTTATATACTGAATGAGTACGGTATAGTATAAGTAGAGTCGCGTCCCAGAAGCGACTCACACGTTCCTTCTCGTTAGAGTATATCTTTATTTTAATAATAGTATTGTAAGTAGCCCTACTATCGTTATTCTACTTTGGGTAATGCTGGAATTGTTCAGCATCCATCCACAAATGTAAATAATTTTGCGAAAGCTCTAAAGAAGAGCTTAAAAGCTGCGTAGCGTACGCAAGTATGTGTCTCCGCATCTTTACTGGATAGGTTATCAAGTCAGAGGGGGTTTCACCTATTCTACCAGTATGTCTCGGGGGGAAAATCCACTGATTTATATAAACTCAGGTTTTTTTCTGATCTTGCGATACTCACCCATGCGAACGCGAATATCTGTGAGCTGTATAAAATGGTCAGTCAGGGCAAAGTGTCCGTCAGTCTAGCGTCTTATTTCACGTCGCAATGAAGCTTATGCCGTTCTTGGTCTGCATGCTGGTGCTGCTCTGCCTTCTGGTCAATGGCGGCGATGCACGTAAGTTCTACTAGTTGTTAATTTATTGGAAAGTCTTCTGATAATCGTTGAACCTTTGCAGGCTCTACCTTAAAGATACCCAAAATAACCATCAAGAATGGCGACATCATTGTCCACGGCAACTGCAATGGCTGTACGGCCCGAGCCACCAAAAACACGGCACAATTATCAATAAAACTGAGGAGCAGGACCAGAACTACCTACAAAGGATAACTTTACCTATGCACCTATACATATAAGAGTGTACTTTAGTGAGTGTCTTGCCATATTTTGAATATTGTTAATATATAATTAGTAATGGAGAATGGCTGAATCTTCAGCACTCTGTGTGTAAGACTTGTGATAAGTGAATATATTGTTTATATTTATGTGAATCTGTTTGTTTGTTTGTTTGCTTGTCTGTTAGTCTACTATCTCAATAGGGCAAAATAGCGACCCTAAGAGCGGGTTTTCAACCGATATTTGACATCTGTAGCCAACAAGTGCACTCGACTGTTGTTGGTGGCACATCCCTGTGCTCCCTGTACCCTGTACCTCTGCCGATGGGAGGTTGTTCACTTGAGAGTGGGCTCACTGTTCAATATTAATAATATAGTATTGGACAAACCCAAATGCTCTCGTAAATTTGTCATAAAACTCAAGCTTTGCTCGTAAATCATTCTGGGCCAGAGCGGGGTTATGTTCCAGCTCCAGTTTATGCCTCATAGGTAGAATATTTCAGCAAAACGCATAAAAATTGCCATCATATTTGGCTTTATCCAGGACATGCCTTCACGTCCCTCCCCGCACCTCACCCAGCCCCTATCCGTCCACGTGTTTTTCATTTTCCTTTCGGCAGCGTATGCGGAAAACCGTTGGCTTCTCCGTTCCCCGTTCCACGTGCCACGTCCCTTTTCCTTTGCGAACAATTTTATTACCAAGGAAAACCCAACGAAAGGCAAACCGCTGTGCGCCTGTAAATGACTCCCCAGGCACCTTTATATTGACTCGTAAAATTGCGACATTTAGTTGTGTGCGAGCGCACCCCCAAGCCTGGCAGGTCCCCCCAAAAACAACCCCGATCCTTCCGTTCCTTCCCCTTTGTTCCCTGCTCACTGTTCTCTTCCTGTCGTTTGTTCTTGTCTTTGACTACGACTGAGCCAGTGCCAGTGCCAGACCAAGACCCAGACCCAGCCCCAGACCCGTAGCCATAGCCGGAGCCGGGTCGAAGGACGAGTTTCTTAACGTTTTAAATTTGATTTTTATTCGCCCGACAGTTGTAGCCGGCAAACGATTTTTTTTATGGATTGAAAGGCCGCCCTAGGCAGCCACCCCCTTCCAGCGTGTCTCGCCTTTGATTTCTTTCTATCCTGCAAGCAGCGGAAATTGTGTTGGGGTTGAGATTGGAGATTGGAGAGAACGCGATTCAGGTGGAAAGGGATTCAGCAAATAAAGCAGGGAAAAAATTATCATTGCAGACACTTGATAGATTTGTCATCGGCGACTCTGCTCCATCTTTTGTTCATTCCTCATTGTTTGTCTTTCGATTCACAAACGAGTGGGGAAACTTCTGGCAGCAATTTGATTAATTCCACTTTGGGATGTCGAATGATTTATTGGATTTTTTGTAAGTACTCAATCGAGGGCGAAGCGTTTTTTCATAATTAAATTCATTTCGTTTCGTCTTCTGTCGTCACATTGCGCATACGCACAGTTGCACAGCAAGGGGAGGAGCAGTAGTTAGCCTCTTCCGTCGGCGTTTCAATGATTTCATTTCAATCGCATCATTCAGCCCAGCCCCCCACCTCCTCACTGAGCGGTGTCCTCCGAGGAGTAAAAGTGGCTTGCAATTTGTTTTCGTTTTCTGTTTTTCCGCTTTTCCGCTTTTTATTTTCATCTTGAACTGTTTGCCTTGGCGTCTCCCTTAGTTCAAGGAGACCAACTACAGGACACAACTTGCAGTGCACAACGGTCCACGGCACAGCTTTAATGCCAAAGAACTGACTGGGGGATGAGAAATGAACATAGGAACTGGGTCGTTCCATGTACATACGTGTGTATGTATGTATGTATGTTCATTCCTCCCCAGTGCTGGAATTGTCATTGCAATTATGCCCGATGGGCATATAACTTCTCTTGGGAGAGATGACTGTGAGCCGAGTATACAATCAAATTTAGCCAAACCCGAAATATTCAATCTTCCATCACACTCGCACTGGCAGCCAAGAGCAGCCATATGCAGCCACATCGTGTGCCGGCCAGTGGCCAACACTACAGAGCTCAGCAGAGGGGGCCCGAAAACAATTGGCAAGCCACACCCTCGGGCCACACGCAACCCACAGCATTCATCCCCATCCCCATCCCTCCACCCTCACAACCACATCAACCTCCACCCAGATCAACTGGTCATTCAATTTTCCTGGCCCCCCTCCGTCATCCTCCGGCTGCATTATGCAGCTTACCTCGATTCTGATTTCATTTACGTAATTACCTTACCAGCTGCCTCTGCCCCTGCCTCTCATCTGCATCTGCCGCAACATCGTTCGATTATGCTGCTGCTGCACTCGGAGAAAATGCGATTAAGTATGGATGGATGAGCACGAACAAAGTGGATCCGACGAATAAAAAGTGTTTGTTGAGGGAGGGTTAGCTGTTGTATTAGTCTGTTATTAGTAGATTAGTAGATTAATTAACATTCTTCATCAGACTGTTTCTCGCAGTGTGTCTCCCTGTATTGGGCATCGACAGGCCCAGGCGATGGGGGCCTGTGCTGGCCGAGGACTGGGACTGGGACTGAGACTGGGACAGGGTCTGCCTGCCGAGTCTGGCGAAACGAGTTGATTAAATGCTGTAATTGATGGAATTGCGAATGGGGATCCAGAGGTGTAAATGATCGGCTTGGTATGCCGCCTGGATAAACATGTCATTGTCGTTAGACGATGCCCGGTGACTGGGTGAGCTGAGCTTCAGGGTGATTTAGGATGGCTCTGCCTCCTCAGGGTCGTCGGACAGCGTCAACGGGCGTCAATCAAAAGAGCACACGGAATGCGAACGTATTTATTTCATAAATATTTGCGCCAAGGGTCGAGGAACGACTCCATGAAAAGGTCTCCCCACTGCAGTGGGGACAGGCGGGGACAGGCGTGGCGGGGACAAGCAGTCCGACACAAAAAGGTTGAAATAAAAAATGGTTTAAAAATTGAAAGGATTATGGGGTGAGCGGCAGCGAAGCGCGTTAATGTTGATGCCGCCGCGGGGCTGCACACGCAGGGAGACAAGGGCTCTGGCCGGGTCGGGCTGGGGAACCACAAAGGCTGGAAACTGGGCTGGAACTGCTGGTATGTTGATGGTATGTTGCTGGTGTTGCTGTCAGTCAAACAAACTGGGAAAAAATCAACGACTAAAGGCTACACACGATACAACCAAAGCGAGGCCCTGTTCCCGGAGGTGGGACGCGGTCAGGAGGGACAGCGGCCCGTTGTTGATGGTCAACAATATAATTTGAACAGGAATGAAAAATAAACGAGGCAAACGAGGATACGGATCCCAGAGCCAGAGCCACAGCCAGACTCGGACCCGGACCCGGCTTGGACCAGTCAGTCCGCGGAGTGTGGAAATTGGGCCCAAACACACACATGCACAAAATGTGAACATTTTTTGTGTATAAATCAAATCAAATATGGGAAAAAAAGTGTTTTTATTTATATTTGTTGTCAGTTTTTATTTCTGCACCAAAGTTTTGAAAGGACTCAAGGCTCAGTGTGGACCTGGACCAGAGTGGACCACGCCACGACAGAATACAGAAAGTCCGGAAATCGGAAATATTATGCAACAAAATATGGTGAAATGCTAGGTAGAATGCAGACTCATAACTGGTCTTAATTCCATTCATAAGATCGGTAGTTACTCCAGGTAAAAGTCCGAAATTATTTAAAGTATCTGCTACTGATACGTGTGATATTAATAGTGCAAATTGAAGGTACGGCACATAGCCAAATATCATCGCCAGCGACTGTGCAAATCAGGCCGTTGAGTCTCTGGACAAGTTCAATTAGCTTCCACCTAGAATCCGCCAATCACTCCCTCAACCACTGTGCCTCGTCGATGCCACGTAGTTCGGTTGCTTGCCCTCACCCGCTCGACACTCTCTGGTTTCGTTCTCTTTTCGCCCTGAACGAACTCCTGATGCTGCTCTGCTGCTGGCAGTTTGCAAACGATAAATGTTATAACTGTGCTGGGGATTTGCTGCTACTGTTTGGCACTGTTTGGGAGTGGAACAGCTGCCGCCTTTCGGCAGCTTCAGCTTCAGCATCGGCTTGACTCGGACTCGGACGCGGATTCGGACTTGGACTTGGACTCGCAAAACTCAATTTATTGTTGAGCGCCGCAAGCAGACGACGTTGGTTTCTCCTCTCGTCCTTCCTCGTCTCCATCTATCATATTCGCTATAGCTTCTGCCCCCTGCGGTTGTGTTTGCTCTGTCCCATTCCGTTCCGTCCTGTTCTGTCCTGGCCTGTCCGGAGCCGTCTCTTCCCCCCCTATCCCTGGAGCTGCAGGACTTTATGTGGTCCCTCTCATGTCCATTCTCGCTTCTCGGCGTTGACTGCTGGAAATTGAAAATCATAATCGCATCAACTTTCCGCACACAGTCCAGGCAGCAGCTCCGCCCGCCATCCACACTCGAAACTTTCTCTCTGGCAAAAGGAAAAGAAAACCCCCAATGTAGGCAGCGCAGCGCACAGCACAGACAGACTCTGAATGCTAGAAAGATAATATGTTGAGATTAGTTTTAGCTCTCAATGTGTGTGTGTGTGTGTGTGTGTCTCGGTTAACCTCTGCTCATTGCGGCTCCCTTTTATCAGATAAATAGACTGGAAGGGGGCAGATGGGAGGATGGCAGAGACGGTGGGCTGTGGAGCAACTCTTGTGCATATAAATTATGTGCAAGTTGATTATAAAACAATGCAAAACTGGCAAAAACTTTTCCCGCTCAAGTGCCGCTAACTTTGATAGTTTCTGAAGGGGATATTTGTGGAGGCACAGATGCAGGACAGGGAACCCCTCACTGCCGAGTCCTTGAGTCGTTCGTCGTGTGTCACGCAGACATCACCGACGTCAATCGGTAGCTGTTCCCCTCGATCCCTGTTCCTGTGTACATTAAGTGGTGCCATCATCCCCTGCCCCTGGCCCAGTACCTGCTCCTGCTGCTCTGTTGCCATCAAAATTAGCGTCGCTCTGCTGGCCGTAAGCCCGTCATGATGTGGCAAGTTCCAGATTCCTGCCCCTGCCACCGTTTTGCGGTCTGTTTTGTGCCATGTAATTGTTGGTCTCATGCGTATGCCAGGCCATTAACGCGCTGCCGTCAGCCTTCAGCTGCTGCTGGCCGTTAAAGGAGAAGTTAGCCAGCTTGTTAGCAAACTCGGCTATTGTAATTGGGCCTAGAATGAGCAGGACTCACTGCTTCCAATATCCCCCTCTGTGTTAGCTACTATTTTGGGCGTAAGTCCAAGACATGGGATCAAATCTCTGATGGAATCCCGCTGGAGTCCCTCTCAGCCAGTGAGTGCCCAACTAACCCAAGAAGAATCACTAATAATTATGATTATTTGATTATTAGTTACCCACCACCCAGCAACTAAGTGCTGTTGACAAAATCAATTGCCTGGAAATTCATTATGATCCAGCACACCCAGCAACATCCCCACACTTCCACCAAAGACTCCTCAAATCAATTCATATATAAGAGTATGCCTTGGTGATAATTTACTAGTACAAAGGATTGTAGCTGTGCTTTGACTTATGCTTTTACTTGCTCTACTCTGATTCTGATATTTTTTGCACTTGGGGAATTTCATTCAAAAAGTACCCAAAGCACATAGAATTTCCATCTCATCATATGTAATTAGATGAACTGCGAATAAATAATGTAGGTACATACCCACACTGCTGCATTTGTAAATGTGACAGCAGTGAGTGTAATTCGTAGTTGGGTTCAGTTTTAAACATCCTCATCATCATCATAACATTAACATTAACATTAAAGTGGCCAAGGGGACCATAAAAATGAAAATGAAATCAACGTATTAACTACGTAACGCACACACACCCACCCACACACACACAGACGAAGATACACAGATAGAGATACAAGCACAAGGATAAGCGGGCTCACGCCACACGGAAAAGGCAGCGAAATAAAATCAATTCAAATAAAAAGCATAAATACGACCACAGGAAATGAAAATGACGACGAGGACTGCGGCAGAGCAGCCCAAGGGTATGGTTAAGGGTGACTGGGAGTGGGAGTGGGAGTGAGGGTGAGGGTGCTGCTCGAAGGGTGCGTGCGGAAAGAAATGGTGGAGAAAGGGACTGGAAGCGTGGGCGGCAACATGTAAGCGCACATTTTACGGCACAAGCATTTTCGCTTAATAAAATGTTAAGTGGGGGAGAAAAAGCGACAGACAAAAAGCAGCGACAGTTGATGAAGGGCAAACGGGAAAAGGAGACTGGGTAGCTGAGTGGGGTGGGGGGAGTGTGGAAGTGAGGAGCCCGCCCAAAGGACGAACAAGCGACAGACTGACGCAATGACTGACAGAGCAGCAGCAGCAGCAGCACCAGCAGTGAGCCGGAGTCGAGTCTGACAGAGGCAGAGTCGTAAAATTATATTTACAACACAAACAAAGCTGTCGACAAGAGGGTGTGAGGGGGGAGGCGGAGAAGCAGAAGGACGATGAAGCCCAACACAATGATAAGCATGAAGCGGATGAGAGTCTCACACACACACACACACACAAGCAGACACGTACAAACACATTGGGTAGAGTGAGAGTGGCAGTGGGGCAGGGAGAGAGTAGCGCCAGCAAAAAGGGCGACGTTTGGTTCGCTCCCTCGCTTCGTTTGCTTTCGTTCGGCATGGAGCCGGGGGGGATGCGAGATGAGACGAACAATTTCCCGCACTCAAAAAATAACAATGGCGCGTTGAAAATATCCGCTTCCGTTCCGAAAGCTACCGAAAGGAAAACAGCACAAGAGCAGACAGAGACAGCAGGAGAGACAGTCGCACGGCAGCTGCGACTCTCGGGGCCTGGTGGGTTTCGGGTGTTTGGTTTGGTTTGGGCTCTCGGTCCTGGGTCCTGGGTTCTGCACCTCCCTCCTACGTCACACTCCCAAAATTTAATTCAATTTGAGCACAATGAAATCATATTTTGCAACAAGCGTGGCGGAGGCTGAGCGGGGAAATGGATGTGGGAACTGTCAAAATCGCAGCCAACGGATCTGACAACTGGGGGAAACGCTTTTCATTTTCATTTTACCCATTTTCGATCAGTACGAATGACCAGCCCGGCTCCATAAGCCGTGCCGTTCCGGGGATGGAATGGACTGGTCTGGGCTGCAGACTTTTCTGACAATATGTTGGCACAAAAATATTTGTCCATTTGCTAGTCGTCGAATATCCCGTTTATTATTCATGTTGGGTCCTTGGGTCTCTGGTCCGCCCCAGGCTTCGTATTGCTTAAATAGCGCATAAAATAATAATAGCATTATTTACATTCGTATTCTATTTATTTGCACACTTTTTAACGCACATAATTACATAATTTTGAGTGCCTGTCTGCCCCCTCTTGGGCCGACAGCTCAATCGATGTGAAACATTTCATGAGCCGCACACAAACGAAGGCCTCCTGGGGGATTATTTTCATTTTGACAGGACACGCACTCACACACACAGACACACACACAAGCAGAGCCGGGATTTCAAAGTCCTTTGGCCAGCAGTTGAGCCGTAAGCCGAGGGCATCCAGTGGCAGCGGTCCATCCCGGAATGAAATATTGCCAGCCCTGACAAATGCTGTTTGCCCAAGCCCCCCTGGGTGCAGGACATGGACATTCCCGTTTCCATTCCCATGCCCTTCCCTTCCGCCCTGCCTAAGTATGTTTGTGTGTAAGCAATAAAATGGAAAATATCTGAACTTTGGCAAAAAGCGCACAAGGATATCAATTCCCCGAATGCCTGAAATGTGTGTATGTATGAGTGAGTCAAATCCAACAAGAAATCAAAATCATAGCAATAAAATTGAGGGAGCGTGCACGAATGCCGAAGGAAAAACAGCAAGCAAACACTTCCGAAAGGCTTTGGATACTCCTGAATATTTGGCTCAGTGGCAAAAACAAGTTTTCGACAACATTGAGGGGCATCCAGGTTGGGGGAGGATGAACAAGCCGGCACAGGACCGGATTTGCTACAAAACGGTTCCACTTCCTCCGTTATTTTAAGTTGAAATCAGAGCCCCCCCGTACATTACACAGGGCGTAATTCTTTACGCGACCAGCCGAAAAGTATGCACCGAAAATAAACCAGTACTGGAAAAGGCGCCAAACATTTAGTTTTTCAAATTCCTTCTCGTTTGCCTCTGATCCCTCCCGGCTAGGACACCCAAAAGGATACCACTTACTTGCCTTTTACTTCAATGACTACGAAAGCAGCTTTGCCACTTTCAAAATTCTCCCTTTTCTCTCCTCTGACCCCACTTGCCGTGTCATCGGAATAATAAGCTCGCCCGGCATATCCCACAGGAAAGCAAAAATTACCACTGTCAAAGTTATACAAAGGTCAAATGGAACATTATGGCTTTATTTTGCGCCTAATAAATCTCATTATGTCATTATATACTACCGCCTACCGCGCCAGCAACCCAACAGGAAAGGCTCCTTCCGCCAGTGGGACGACTATATGTTTGCGTGTATGGGTGGTGTGGTGTGCTGTGTGCGGTGTGTTTTGGAAAAGGTAAAAAGCTGCCTAAAACAACCGACAAGGAGAAGCAGAGAAACAAGAGGAGCAACCACCAGCTACACAGCCAAACGACATGCCAATCAGTAATCAATCCCGCACGCACATTGACAACGGAGGACCTCACCAAAAACAATTTGCAAGGGCCCAAAAACAACAACTACCAGAACAGAGAAGGCAATAAAAAGTTGGGAGAAAGAAGAAGCAGCAGCAACGCCGACAAGTGAGACCACACGACGGCACAGTAAACAAATTGGAAAGAGATGAACATACATAACTGCGCAATATGGCGTCACGAAACCAAGGTACTTCCATAATAAGGAGAGGAGAGCAAAGAGAGCAGCCTCTTTTAGTGTCATAATACGACTCAATTGTGAGAGTGTGTGAGAGAGATAGAGAGGAAAACCTTACCTTGCTTTTAGTATACCTTTTACAGCTGCGCAGAGAGAAGAGAAAAAAAGCCGCCATTTATAAACATTCGCTCAGAGAGCGTGGCTGAGTTGTGTATATGCATGGGAATGCTTTTGTATGCGGACTATTGAGTATGTGTATGTGTTGGAAATGCCGCAGGGTTGTCAGCGTGACTGCTGACCCAGCAGTGAAACTCGCAATACTACAATACTTTAAATCTGTGGCTTTGAGTCTGGTATCAAACATTAAGTAATAATATGAACGAACGACTGTGCATTGCTGGAATTAATGCAAAAGCGACTCTAGAGTTGGTGTGCTTCACGCGAATGTCAAAAGCACACACCTGGCAACCCTGCTCGTTGCCAGCCACTCTCGCCTCTCAATTTATGCGCGTTTGTTTTCTTCTTCGCTTCGTTCCGACAGCAACGGTCAACGCTGTCGCAAAACTATAATGCTGTGGAAAACATAAAAAATTGTGTGGAAAAACACCTACAACTCAACATTTTGAGCCCACATTTTGCGTGCTAAACAAAAGATTTACCCAGTGCAAACAAGTATGCAAAATCGTTCAATTATCACCGAATTATCTCGACGGAAATGTGTTTTACTTGTGCATTCAATTCAATTTAATTTAAAGCAGCAGCAACAGAAAGTGTTATTGCTCTCTCTCATCCTCTCTTTCTCGATCGCGAGCGATCAATATGCATGTGTGTGTGCGTGTGCGTGCGTGTGTTTGACGTAGTCGCGTCGCGGTTTCAGCAATTAAACCAAGCGGCGTAGAAATGCCAAAAACGCATTAAAAATTATTACTCGTTGCCGTCTGTCATTCACAAGAAGCAGCAGCAACAACAGCGACAATCATACACAAGTGCTATTTGCCGCTACTCATAAAACAAATTACCCACTTGGGGTCTGACTTGTGTGAGTGTGTGTGTGTGTGTGTGTTGGAGCGTGCGTGCGTGTATGTGCATGGGTATGAAAAGAGCACCGTAATAATCGCATTCATTGCCTCGGCTCTTCATCATCTGGTAGCAGTCGAAAAGGAAAAAATACTATGCACTAACGCTGGTGTAAAAAGTAGTAAGCCAGAGCCGCCACAATAGTAGTAAAAAAAAAAACAAAAAAAAGGATGAGGAACGAGAATGTGGCACTGGCAATATGTTGCTGCTGGCAGCAAGAAGCAGAAGCCCCATCAGTCGGAATAGTACCGGAATAAAATTACTATACTTACTTGGCCCCAAACTTGCTTAAGTGTGTGTGTGTGTGTGTGTGTGTATGAGTGTGCCTGCCGTTTCTCTCACTCTCTCATCGGCAGTAGCGGGGGCTGTGTCAGTGCTTGTAAATGCGGCGCATGTGCATATATATATACATATATATCGCATTTATATATATATATATGTAATGTGTGTGTGTATGTATGCAAGAGATTTTTTTTATGTTTCGCACAAACATTGCGGTAAAAGAACGCCGACAAACGTTCGTCTCTCCGCTGCCGAACTCGTCGTTTCGCCGCTCTCACTAATTTCTGATTGTGACGTCTGCGCGGGCGCGTGTGCAAGGTGAAGCGCTGGATTGTCGTCGGTTCGTCGCGTCGGTCGCTCTGTCGGTCGGTTGGTCTGTCGCTCGTTTGTTCGTTCGGTCGCTTTGTCATACAACTCCCCCGTGCATTTTTTGTGCCCCAAGCTCTGTTCACCGACTCGATACCCATACCTATGCCCACACACACGTACATTACGTACGGGTGTGTGTGTGGAGCAGCTTCTGTTCTGCAGAGCAGGCAACAGAGCTTGGACACGCGTCGCTGTCTCTCTCTCTATCTCACTCCCTCCCACTTCCTATCCCGCTTAATCAATGTGCCGTTTTCTCGAATATTTGTACAGAAATAAGAAAAACAACAACAAACCTCATAAAAAGTTCAAACATTTGTCGCAAAAGGAATGAAAAAAGTGTCAAAGCAGTGAAAAACAACAAGAAGGAAATTCACCAACGGCAGAACGAGAAAGAAAAAAGGCCGCACAAAGAGCCAAAGAGGTTGGCTGTCTCGTTCTGGCCCCCGCTTACATAAATGGAGAATAATTCTTGAGATTGCTTTTCGGCAAAGCCAAGCAAAGCCAAGCTAAAGCAAGCAAGCCAGCAGCAAACTCGAAACGGAGGAAAATTTTGTGGATTTACATTTTCCGTCGTCTTCCTGGGCGAGCGAGCGCGCGTGTGTGTAAGTGTGTGTGTGTGTGTTTGTGTGTTGTGTTTGTGTGTGTGCCTGGCGTTTCTTTTGTGGATTATTACGCCCTCTCGCACACTCTCTCTCCCCCACTCACTCACACTCACACTCACCCAAGAGGAGGAGAGCGAACAGGCCAGCAAGCTGCCAGAGTCCTCGTTCGCACCTCGCCTCGCCACACAGCTCTTCATCACCTGCCCAATCCCCTCCTCATAAACCCACCCCCCCACGTCCGTTCCATCTACTGGATGCTGTCTATGAGAAAGGAACGAGCATATCAAGAGCAGAAATTGCGATTATTTTGGATTTATAAAAAGGTGAGCATCCTCCAGATATGTCTAAATTCTCGTACATGTATATTTTTGCAGTCAATTTATTGTATAAGTCTGTCCCCATCCTCCCTATCTGGCTCCGATATACAGATGTGAAGGAGATGGCTATCTCACAGAGAGAGAGAGAGAGAGAGAGAGATAGCCAGAAAGAGAGTAAATTATTTCCAGTTTGATTAATTGCCGCACGCCACTTACTGTTGCGGCATGTCCGTACTCTTTACTCACACACACACACACACAAACATCTTCCGAGCTAATGCCAATTAAGGTGTTTCAATTTAAGCTGATTTTCAATTAAATGGAGTTTTTATTGTTTTGCTGAACGATTACAGAATTGACAGTAGGATGGGCCTTTTTTTAGGTTTATGGTACCGACGCTCCATCTGTTTTACAGCTCTCTCTTTGCATTTTGTTGAATTATGAATTACTCTTTTAACTGTGTTAGTACTTCCGTCAGGAGGCTCCCCAACTACTTCCGGAAGTAGAATCCCCCGAGCAACCGCTCATCTTATGGCTCGTGGGCGTGAATTGTATCCGACAGATACGCTTTCGATTGGATAAACATTGAGGTGCAGTTCCACTGTAAACATGCCAAAATTGTTTATTTAAACAACTGTTTAAGTCATATAGATACAGATACAGATGTAGATTCACATAAATGTATATAGATAAAAGGCACACACACACACTGAGGCACAATTAAGAGTCTATTAGGCAAAGCTCTCTGTCGGGCCATAACATTAAAATATTTCACACAAATGGTCAGGACGGGTCGGGCCGGGCCGGGACAGCCTGATCTGGGCCTGCGACATGGCAGGCCGCAGCAACAGCCCCGCGTGAAGAGCTGAATCAGGTGGGGGGAGTGGATAGAGGAACAGTGTTTCCAGTGGCGCGCACAATCGTGACGCCAACTTAGTTACGGTCATTAGCACCGGGAGCTGTGGTAGCAGCAGCAGCGAATGGCGCTGAGCCGCACCGCACCGCACCGCGCTCTGTGTGCATGTCTCTAGATGTACAGACATTCATACACAACAATTTGTCACACTGCGCGCTGGCTGGCAAAAGCTGCCAGCAAGCAATGCGATAGCAGCAGGCAGAGTCAGGCGACACACTCGCCTGACACAGTGGGACCTGGCCACAAGTCCCCCACTACTCTGATGATTTTGGTTTCTTTCCAACAGTAGATAGCAAAGCTCTTTCGCACTCAGAGTCTCCGAGAGCTAACCTTATGAAAGCCACCTTAGCCTGGAATCACTGTAGCTGACTGAAAGCGACACAGATGCCACACAACCAGGCAAGAGCCACGTTAACCGACTTTGGTTGGCGCATTCGCTGGTTGGCTTTTTGCCCTGCTTTTTTGGCCAAAGATCGGCCTCTCCTCTCCCGCGCTGCCCACTGTCGCACTCTCCTGCCGCTGCTCAACCACAGCAATTTGAACACGGCGTCGAATGTGTGAATTGACTGACAAAACATTATCCAAATATAATTGCAGCGCTCATAATTGGTAGCATGTGTTGAGGTGGCTGCTGTTCCCGGCTGCTTGGCTTGGAGCTATTCGGCTATCGTGTGGCACACAAACTGACACGACCCCTGCCCCCTGGCCCGCCTGCAGACGGTTATTTGTCCATTTGTCATGGGGGTGGGGTGGGGACATACACTGCCAGCTACTGTGCCGAGAAGCCGAAGCCGAAGCCCCACCCCTGTTCCGGGGCACGGCGCGGACACAGGGACACGGCCCGATGCGATTACACCTAATTGATTTGTTCAATTTTCATAGAAACAGCTGACAGTGACAAACGCCCGCTTTCCACCAGTCCACGTCCACGGTCACGCCCACGCCTCCGACTGTCTGCCTGCCTGCCTGCCTGCCTGTCTGTCTGTCTGTCGTCCGCCCATGCAAATTAGCAACGAGAGAGCTGAGCTCCATGTTTGCAATTTCAATTGAAAATATATACATACATACATAAACAAACATATACATACATATGTACAAATGTATGTATCCATGTAGATATTATTATTTATGGTATGAGATGAGCCAGAGAAAATCCACTCCCATTTCAAATGCGTAAACACCCATTTGACTGAGTGAATTTCATTCGAGTGGTTATAATAATTGGGTAGTATTCATTCGGTACAAATCAAATAGGATACAAATGTATTTATGTTCCACATCAAATGATCCACGGAAAATGCATCCACCAGCAAATCAAATGAGACTCGCTATAAATAAGCAAATCAAACTATTAATAAATGGCATAAAATTTGCCAAATAAAAGATTTCGCATCGAGCTCCTCTAGATATAATTTCTGAGTAGCAGCGAGCGCTGAGGGCAGAGGCGGGCCCACAGGCGGTGGGGTGTGGGAAGGGTGCAAAAACAAATAGCCGGCAATCAACAAGAGCGTCATTAAAAAAGCAAATTTCTGAACACGCTAAACACATGTAGAGGAGGAGAACAGCAACGGGGCAACGGCAATACAGGCAATGGCAACAAACAGAGGCACAAAAAAACAAAGGCATGAGTGGCACAATGAGTGAGTTGGTGAGGGGAAGGGGAAGGGGCAGGGGAAAACAAAAGCACCAGAGGCACGAAAGCGTTCCACGTTCACTAGATAATGTGGGCCAGCAGCCGAGTGAGCCGAGCGAGAAAATGGGGGAAGATACGAAAACAAAAAACACAAAAAAAAACAAAACTCAATTCCCATCACGAGAAACGAGGCAAATTGATTGTGATGATGTTTTCGAATCCGACTTTGACTTCGCTTCGCCGGGCATCTGTGAGATACGAGATACAGCCCCAGACTCTGTCTCTGTGGGAGGGACAGCGGGTGTCGGATCGCGCAGTCAGCCGTGTAAATGAATGCTTTTGATAATTAATTTATGCTGCCTGCCACAGGGATAAATGATATTTATACAGATACATCCATTTGCATACTGTACATACATACATACATACTTATCTACTCGTATCTGTGTGTGTGTGTATCCCGTGTGGATGAGCAGGAATCAACACAGCAAACAAACGAAAGCTCTATAAAAAACCACACTTAATGTCGCTTAAACAAGTTTTAATTTAATTTATGCACACATTCGTATTTATTCCACTTTGTGCAAATAACTCAATTTAAACGGTCCTTACGGATGGTTTTGCACAGCGGGCGGGGGGGCTACGGAGGGCGAGGGAGGCAATTCATTATTGTGTGTTGTAAAAACTGAATAAATAAAACGTAATTAATTATAGCATGTAAATATAGCGATATCAAATTGCGATAATAGCAATTAATATTTATTTCTTGTGTCGAAAGGCAAACATTTCCCGAAATACATATGTACATATGTAAGAACCATAAATATTATAATTACTAAATATTTATGTATTATTTAATTATCTTTTGTCAGGTTTTCATTTGTAGTAGCATCCAGATCGGGAACTATTAGACTTACTTACTCATCAAATTTGATCATTATCGTCTTTGAAAGCATTTCAAGATAACAGCCAGGTTTTCAACGTTTAAATTAAGTTCAAATAAAGCGTTCCTGTGGCTTCCAACTCCAAGACTGTGCACCGAGTATTTCAATTTTTGTATTCCAATTGCTTCCACAGCTCCACAGATAGCCCGCTAATTGAGTGTCCCCACTCAAAAGTGTCTTGCAATTTGATAAACGAGTTTGAATTCCCACCACCAACAACAACTACAGCAACAGCAGCAGCAAAAACAACAACAACAACAAAAATAATATAAAAAAAACCCGTGTGGATTTTGAGTTGTTTATGTCTTATCTGAGTTGACATTTTGTTAAACTTATTTTTTGCAGCTACACGCGCCGAACATTTTTGCTGCCAAAAATAGCGAAACGCGAACGAAATAATCTAAATTTAGTCCGAAAAACCAAAGTAGATTAAATGCTACATTTATTAGTCTCAGTGGAATTTTTTGTACTAAATTGTAATATTTTGTGCGAAATATTTCGTTTTATGTGCACTGGATTGGAGATTCTACACTTTCCCCCAAAGATTGCAGCGCATTAAATTCCGAACTTATAGCATCTGAGCAATCGGTGGAAGGCTGAATCTTTTCCGCCTTAAAAATGCATTGTGAACTGCCAAAAACTGGCAATAATCTGTGGAATCTGTGTATAATAATAATATGTAGATGGGCTTTACCAATTAGTAGTACTCTCTGCCCATCGCCTTTACTGCCAAATCGAATTCTGTTCCACAAAATGTATCTATTGAACGGGCATTGGCTTCGGATATTTCGTGAGTCCCGTCCCGAAAACTTACTTTGTTTATTTGCCTAGCGGCTGATTTGTCGGGTCTTTTTTCTCGCTTTTTGCTTCTCTTTTTTGTCTACATTGTAAATCTATTTTTGCTTCTCTTTGTGGCTGTTCTTCGGCTGCGCTGCGGCGTTTGTCAGTCATGAAAATTACGGTTAGTTGGTGGTGGGAGAGTATACAAATGCAAGGGGCATGGAGTGGCCGGGGCGTGGGCACGGGGACTGGACTGGCGAGGTCTCCGAGGTTGGCGTAGTCCATCAAGCACCAGAACCAGCAAAAAGCGTGATCCCACCCCCCCTTCCTTCTCTCACTCCTCTCACTCTGTATTCGTTTTGGCGAGTTTGTTTGTTTGACTTCTTCCACTTCTTCCCCGCTGTATCTCTCTTGCTGTCTCTCTAAATACCAGATAAGCATTTGCAACCACCAACAACAACAACAAAAACAACGACAAGAATGAGAGCGCCTGCTGGGTCCGATGCTACCGAGGCTTTAACTGCTCTAACCGCCCCCAGCCCTCGCCCTCCTGCATGGCCCTTCTCTTTTCTTCTTTGCTCCCTCCTTCATATTTATTTTGATATATTTTATGATTCTTTATTTGGCGGCTTTGGCTTCCCCGCAACGCAAATGAAACTCGCAGCGAGGCTTCTCTGTGTACAATGTATACCCTTGCCACGAGAGTATTATTGGTTCCATCAGATGTTTGCGA